TTTTTTTTCAAAATGTTCTATATAAAACAATTTTTTTTCGAAATTTTAATACTTTGCAACTTTTGTGTACATGGTTCCTTTTCATCAAAGTTTAAATGTGAGATATTTTATTTGTTGTCACAAAACTGATTTCAAAACTGATTTATCACACAATTTACTAAAATGAATTTACCCAATTTACTGAAATGTACAAAATAGTAATACAAAATAGTAACACAAAAAATGTACAAATAGCTTAAAGGTTTCAAGTAATTTTGATTGGTAATTTTACAAAACAAAATTATTGGGTTTTTATGTACACTTTATTATCAATATTAAAAAAAAATTTCTCCGTTTAGTTTATAAATAATATATTATAACATTAGAAAAACGTCAATTGTGAAGAAAAGTTTAAATAAACTTCACTGAGTATATATCACCTCATTGAATTCTGACGGTGAAAAGGTTACGGTTTAAAATGATACATATTTTATCAATTTGACTTCAAATTAAGTGGAGACGAGTTTTATGATTTATTAATCAAAAATTGAAATTTGCTTAAATAAACCATTTACTTCTAAAAATAATAGTTACAATACGTTTTTCTATGGCACTTTATTGAATAAAAAATAAAATAAAACTGTATGTGTTATGAATAGTGTTTGGTAAGGAAGTAATTTACTTTTTCTTAACTGTTAAAAAATTTGCAACAGGTAAATTTTATTTTTAATTTTTATTAAAATCTTGTACCATGTTGAGACTCAGTCTGTATACGTATGCTGTCAATTGTTTTTTATATTTTTAAATATATAAATTATGTTTTTGAACTCTCATTACTTGTTTCATAAAACAATGTTATAAGGTTAACCAGACGTTTTATGAAAAGGGAGAGCCGTTTCAAGACAAGGTAGAGTTATTTTGAGACAACGGAGCGTTTTTATAACACAAGGGAGTGTTATTTGAGACAAAGAAACTTTATTATGAGACAAAGGATTGTTATTTGAGAAAAGGAAGCTTTAAGTTGAGACTAGAAACCCGATGGGAAATGATCTTTTTTTCCACGTGATTTTTAAATTGTTTATATTATAAAAAGATATATTGGTATACCCCCCGAAATGATCTAACATACTTATGTATTAGAGTATTAGATCTAACATACTTGTGATAATAATTGAATTTGTAATACTTCGATTTTAATAAGGTATATCGCTATCCAAATAATACAGTTTTGTAGCTATCGATATTACTACGATATACCTAGTAGCTGGTCGGTTGCAACATATCTCAGCTTTGTAGTTTTTTTATTACGATATATCAATAGCTGTATAACTACCAACATGATTGTTTTGTATAAAGCTAGCATAATGAAAAGAGAAAAAAATAAAGCAAAGAAAAAAATAGTTAACGACCAGTTACAAAACAGAAATAAAAAAATTGTGTTCTAATCTTGCCATTAAGTCACCGTTTATTTAACTTTTTCGGACAAATTTTATCTTTTAGCTTGCTCCTTTGTTTCTGTTTTTTACATCGCAGTTAAACATTGCAATGCTAACTGTCAAAATGAAACATCACGTGGTTTTTAACAAAGATCGTAATTTTTTAAACTTAACTTAAACAACAAGACGAAAAAAATTTTTTAGAATTTTTATCTACTAAATACTTAGTCATTATTATCATTTAAAAACTTTTTTGTTTATGGATCAACACTTGTGTGGATTTCATATTTTCCATAACTCCTTTTTCTTATTTAATGAATATGAATTTATGAAAAGCTTAATGCAAATTTTTGCAAATTAAAACTGGACATTTTTATTGTACCTCATTACGAGAAACCACTATTCATCGAAACCACTACGCATCAAAACCACTATCCATTGAAACCGCTATCCATAAAAACAAGCATCTGTTAAAACACCATATTCCATACCGCGCCAAAAGTGGATGTACTAGAGTTTTTTAACTCCTAATTTTTTATATCCTAGTTTACTCAATTAATAAAAATTGTATCTGAGTTAAACTTACTAACTCAATCAAGAATGCTTTTCAATTTCCTGAGAGAAAACAAATTTAAAATAAAAAACAATAAAATTTTACCTTTTATATTATTGATGTAAGAAACCAAAAAATATTTTACGAAATATTTATTCAGACAATGATCTTGATCGGGGGGTGTAATTTTTAAATTTTCATTGGCCTTAAATAATTTAAAGTACTTTATAATATAAACAAAATAATAAAAATATAATATCTGTGCATTTATTTTAAAATATATCTGTGTAATTATTTTTATTTATAAATTTATTTTATTTAAATAAAACGAAGTTTTAATTTTCAATTACTTTATCAAGATTATTCTTTTACAATAAAACTATTAATCTTTGACTGAAAAAATTTCATTTAAGATTTTGGCGTCCGGTTCAAATTAAATCGTTCACCACCCCTCCCTCTAGGACATATGTTAGAGAGATATTATTACTAGGGTACATTTCCCCTCCCCACGCCGTGAAACTATAAAATAAACGCTTTAATATAATTACTTTCAAATTTTATAAAACAGGAATAATTTAATAAAACAAAAAAATATATATGAATTTCACACGACTACTTCTTCTACTAATTATAATAATATCAAAATAGTTTTAGTTAATAAATATTTATAAGCATAATTGTATCAACTCAAATAAAAATAAAAATGCATTAAACAAATTTGCTGAATAAAAAAACTCATATTACCACTTTTAAATTTCTTGTAAAAACTCTTTGTTTATATCGTTGTAATCTACTTTGGATGCTGTATCCCATACTCGTGCTAAGCTATTAAGTTTTTACTTCGCTAGAACAAGATCTATGTAACTTTTTTAATATTGAAAACGAACGTTCTGAACAAATATTTATGAGTGTATATTATCAAATTCTTAGTGCTATATCTACTTATGGATAAACACTTGTAAAATTATTTTATTCTATAAACGTACACATTTATTGAATTGTTATGAAAGCCTCAGTACCAATGATTTTTAGATAGTCTCTAAAATGAAGTCATTCAATAGAAAAAGAGAGTTCTTAATCAGTATGATACCTATCCCAAATATGATCCTTTTGAAATATATTGGCACTCTTATAGACTTCAGCTGTTGACAATTATGTCAATTGGAAGAAAAATTTATATTTTTTAAGTATCATAAGATTATTTTCTTTTTTTCTGATATCAGTTTATCTAAAGAATTATAATATCTATTAACTTTAAAAGCGTTTTTTATTAGTGTCGTATCTTTAGCTACTTCTCTATCGTTGAACTTTGCTCATTTTTTTCATGTTTAGCATTATTTTCAAACTCTTTAACACCACGTTTTTTAATTGCAGATAATTTTAAATATTTATATGCTTCATCAATACGAAAATCAATTACACAAGCAATTAAGGAATCATACAATTCAGTTACAATACTTCAATATTAACAGACTTTAGTTTTTTACTAACTATATGAAATCTTTGCTGCACTTGTACCTAAAATGCTTTGCAGCACTTATACCCGAAAATACTGATAAAAATAAAAACGAGTTAAAGGTTTTATTTCTTTTGCCTTTTAACAAGCTAGTTCTCATTTTCATTATTTGCTATCTTGTCAAAAGATAAATTATACTATACAATTATATAAATCATAACTCCTATCATAATAAATTAATACATTATTATTAATAAGTAATATGATAACAGTGTTATCATTAATTCAACATCGTGTCTGTATCATAAATAGAATCACTTATCACGTGGTAAAACAATATCAGATAAAATTAAATAATCTATGGTGACTGAATAACATAAACAGTGATCACTTATCAATGCGACATGCACATTGATAAGTTTTAACAAACTTAATTTATTGTCCAATGTCCACACAAAACCCGTTTTGTGTGGACATTAGACAACATTAGCATTAGTTACTTTTTTACATTTATAAAAAAACCGTTACCTTTTTCGTTGAAAATAGTCTGTCATCTTACGCCTTTTTAGTATATTAAGTATATTTAGTAATATTCCATAGTATATTAAGCTACTAAATACAGGCGATTTTAACACAAGTTGATTCAACACACAAATACCGGAACTTAGCTCACTTGAAAAATTCATTAAGTTTTAAAACGTTTTGATTGAAGCTACCACAACGCACTCGTTCGAGAAAAAAAAAAAAAAAACTTGAAAGTCTGGTGGGGGTAATGCATTACCCACATTACCCCCCCTCCCTGTATCCGCGCCTGTACCGCTCTCAAAACCATTTACCGCCCCCTAAAAATTTACCACCCGTTACAATTATACCCGTTGTACCCCCTAAACGCGGCTCTGCTTACAGGTGAACCTTTGAGTTTTTATTTTCAGTTTACAATATTAGTTGTGATGCATAATTGGATAAAACTTATAAAATATTTAATTGAGTGTATTAACCCAGTGGGCACGGACATAAAAAAGACGTCTTTTAAACGTCTTATACACGTTTTGGACGTCTTTTGAACGTCTTTAAAAGGTTCAAAAAACGTCTTTTTTGGTCCGGTGTCCACTGGGAACAATATATAGCTATATTTTTTTAAAGAAGATTATAAGGATCTTATCATTGGAATCTTAAAAAGTAAACATGTTTGCTTATAATATATATAAAACCTTAAAAAACACCAGTAAAAACCCGTGAAATCAACGTATTTTTGATTTATGCCTGGATCGTGACGAACACGTGTTTATAGTGGTTTAATTCCGAAAGTAAAACTAAATATGCTGGCTGGGAGCTAATACAAAATATAATTTTGTTAATTTTTGCCGTGCTTCCAAATTATAAAGTTTTAGCCTATAGCTAATTAAGTTATGAAAAAAATTTAAAATATTTTATACAACGTAATTAGAATATTAAAAACTATTACATAAAATAAAAGTTCTAAATTTAAAAGTCCTTATATAGACTAAAATATAAATTCTCATTATTATATTATAAATTTTATTTAAATTTATTTATAAATAAATACAAAAATAAATTAGTATTAAATAATTTATTATTTAACATATTATCATCCATGAATAAGTATTCAGTTACCATAGCAATCGGTATTGTTTTAAAAGCAATGGGTATTGATCATCTGATGAGCATTGGTAGTTAACGGCAATTACATGAAACGTACAACATACAATACTATCATAAAGTTTTGGATTTAAATATTCTTGATATTTATTCAACAAACTTATCGCTGTTAAATTTGTTTGCTGAATACCAAAAGTATTCAGCAATCAACATAACAAAGAATAATAAACAAACAACGTAACAAAGAATAAACAAAAAGTATAAAGTAAGATCAGTAAACAAATAGGAGATAAAGGAACACAGAAAACTAAGTTAGGACAATGAGTTTTTAACAAAAAAACACACAAAGTTTTATATTTTCCAGCTGGCATCAAATACAACTTTTTTTCACCTAAAAGAACAATTTTTTTTATAAAATTGAATATACAAACATAATCATCAGTTGAAACTTTTCGTTAAATTTTTTTGCATTATGTTATATTGAAATAATCTAAATACTGACTACCCTTAAAGATTTAGGAGTACCTGACTACCTCTAAAAGTAATCTTTTAGATTAATAGATATAACTAAACCAAAAAATTTATTTCAATTATTCGCAAATATTTTCTTTTCATCATCTTTAAAATACTTATCTCCCAAAAAAATCACCCATTTAACGAGGAATTTCAGGCCTCTTTCCGTACCAATGTCGTTTAGAGCTAGAGCCAACATAGAACCACGAACTGCTTTGAGCCAGAAATCTAACCATCGCGACAAAATTTTTTTAACCACCGCATTTAATAAGGTTTTGTAAGTTCTTGAAGTTTGAGCACCACTTTTTTCTTCGTTCTTGAGAATCTGAAAAAAAAAAAAAAACCGACAAGAAAATATAGATGATAGGATAGATTTCCACCCACAATTCTTTGTTACACTATTACAATCAATAGAATTTTATTTAAAAAATTGATTATCAATAATGAATCCAAAATGATCATTACGATTGATAGTTGGTTACATAAATTAGTATTATCAAATATTAATGGAAAATTTTTTTTTTATTTAAATTAGGTAGCACCAACTTTCATTAAAAATTTATGAAAATTTCGCAAAAAAAAAGTCGATTGTTTTTTTTTCTTGAAAATCTTTTCACGTTATTTTGAAAAATAATTTTTTATTGTACACGTAAAATGTTCATAATTTGTTACTTTTTAAAATATAAATGTATAATTGGCAACATTGAAGAAGAAATGCTCATGGAGTGTTGCTGTATATTTTTACTTAATTAGAAAGATTTATAATGATTAAAATGCTGTTTGATTCATTTTTATGACGTTTATTATGGCAAAAACTAATGAGATTTTTTATGTTTTCACTCGCTTATATTTATACCCTACCGAATTAAATAGAAAAGATGTAACTAATTATAGGTAATTGAAAATAGCATTAAATAGAACTGAATAAATGCAAATAATTTTTTTTTTAATAAATCCATTATAAATTTAGGGGTTCAAGAGATTTGGGCTCTTCATATATTATACTAACTGGTTTTTAAGGCAATATATTGTAAATATAATTAATTTGAAAACGTACAAACACATGATTGTCAATATTTAACGCAAGAATTGAAATTTGAGAAGTGTTGTTGTCATTTATTACATATCGCGTTTGTAACGCAAAAAAAAAAAAAAAAAAAAATTCAGAGTTATAATGGTATATAAAGAGGTATGATTATTTTTTTTGAACTTAATAATTTTATGTTCTTTTTTTAGTTTCATAAAGTGTAAAACATGGAATAAGTTCATTAAATACTCTCTGTTATCCAAGTTTTCAATGGTTTTTTGGCCAACAAGCAACTTTGTAAAATGATATAAATAAATAATATTTCACGCATTGTGCAATAACAGCGTTAATTGGTGGACTAGCTGCAGTTTGATTATGCTCTATCTGATTAGCTCTATTAGTGAACAAACTTTAAAAGCTGCAATAAAGGCCACATTAATTAAATAGTTAACTCGAGAAAACTTTTTAAATGTAGTTTAACATATGTGTAGCTATGAAACATTATACAAAGTAGCGAATAAATGTGTAGCTATGACACATTATAGAAAGTAGCGAATAAATGTGTAGCTATGACACATTATAGAAAGCGAGTTTTTCGGTTTTGTAGTTAAAATTAAGTTCAAAAAAGTAATGACTTTGCACATGAAAGTTTGGCTGATTTCTAAAAAGTATAAGCAATAAAAAGAAATTGTTTTTTATGTTTAAAATAGGGACACACGTTGGATTTTTTACTAAGCTGTGATGTATAATTATTTCGTAATCAGTTGACTGATAAAAGCAATATAGACATGGGTAACAGTATCTTATCTAAATGTATATACTGTGCTGTAAAGAACTAAAAAATTTAGTTTATGTGAAAGAAAAATAAATCTTTTATTTTCAATGTTTTCTTGTATCAATTATTATTATTCAATTATGAAAGTAAAGCATTAGTTCATAAAGTTTTTCCATTCATTTTAACATTCATTAGTTTTTTCCATTCATTTTAACATTAAACTTTATTGCTTAAAAGAATAAAAGTTACTTTCACAAAAATTAAAATAAAAACTTAAAACGTTTTCATTGCTACAGAAGTTAGTTTAGCGTCATGTTCATAAAAGTAAACTTCGGCTTTTCGATGCAAAGAAGTTAGAGATTAGGGATTTCACGTTGAATGTTTTGTTAAAACTACTTTTTTTTAAATTGTTTGCATTTTTTGCTTGATTGATTTTTGTTTGTTAATGTAGTAATTTTTATTTTTCATTTTTCAGTATTATTATTGAAGAGAACTGAATGGAAAAAAAGATATTTTAAAGAATTTACTAAACCATTTCAACATCGGATACAACATTTAAAAAATCTTTCCAGACGATATCAATCGAAATTCCAGACGATAGACATCTAGTGCAAGATTTTTAAGTTTTTACCAGACAGTAACAACAAGTAAAATAAAAAAATAAATCAAAAACCATTTTAAAGACCTTGAGATAATGTATGAAGCATTGGTAAAATACCTTATGTTGGTAGAAGTATTTACTTTGGGTGAGCTTTTTTTATATTTTGCATGCTACTAGGATGCTAAAAAATTATCATATATTCACATAATATAAATAAGATGTTTAAAAAGAAGTTTTTTTCCTGATCAATAAAATACAAAAAACGAAAAAAAAATGTGAATTTTCTTTTCAATAAACTATATTCTTGTTTGTTTGTTTGAAAAAATATGGCATAGTTTTTATAATTAAAAATAAAGATAATTGGTAATTATTACTTTGTCTGGTAATTGAGACAGATACCAAAAATTTAAACTATGCTGATATTCAGATGTTAAAAGCATGTTTGTATTTGGTTTGTTTTTTAATGATTTGTAAATTTGTATACTTAAAAAGTCAAACTTATTGAATGTATTAAGCCCAAAATTTTTAAAATGTTTTAAACTGATCCTGTATCCCTTGATAATTTTTAAACTAATTAATTTCTTCTTCTTGAGTAAAAACACAAAAACAAGCTTTAATCAATTCAACTAGTAATTTTCTGTCTTTTATTTTATATTTAACATTTATTTGCTACTTTATGTTCATTTTGCTTACCACAAACTTCAAACATTGTAGGGGAATCCAGGGCTAGTTGGCTATATTTATATTGTTTATGATTTAGAGCGGTGTCTTGGATAATTATTTTAAAAATATCAAGAACAGTTAAAAATATTAATTTTTTTACAAGAATAACTAAATTTTTAATTTTCAAATTTAAAATTTTGAAAACAATTTTTGTTGGTTGTGGATACCAAAATAGAATTTTGTAAAAAAAAAAAAAAAAGAGGGAGAAAGAGAATTACAAAAGTATTTATTAACAAGTTATTACAAAAATTTATAAGAAGTTTTAATAAAAATTATTTTTTTTAAAGCAAATGGCAACTTTTATGACAGTATGACAACTTCTTTATTCTTTTAAAATATACCAAGTAGTCAACACAATGACAAAAAAATTTTCTAACTGAATCTAAGTGCCCAAAATCGTTTTTTGATAAATAAGCTATCGAAAAAAAAAGATGTAAAACAATAAGAAATTGTTTTTAACCAAAATTTGCTTTGCTTTGCTCCTAACAGCGTGCATTTGGCACAACATGTGTTTACGTTTAAAGGCTTCAAAAAGGTGAATTGAAAGAATAATACACTCTTCAAAACAAACTTTTAAAAATAAAAACTGATAGTAAACACGCTACAGAAATAAAATTAGGTGTCAAATTTAAGTAAAAATTGTTTTTAGTAAGCTCGTAACAATATTATGCAAGCAGGATAATCTTTTTTTAGAACTGGAAAAAACTGCAAAAGAAACTTTGAAACTATTATTGTGACTTATGCCTTACTTTTTTAATCATACTTTGTTATTATTTTATCATTATTTATTATTGTAAATTATTTTTAACAACGAAAGGTTTTTTGTTTGTTTTATTTTAAACAAACATTTCATTGGTCTAAACAAATGGGGCCCGATTAAACTTAATAATACAAAGAAATAATTAAAATCAATAATACAAAAAAATGTTTATTTATATTGTGAAACTTTTCTATTTCTCGGCAATAATTTTAAGCATTTGTCAATTTGTCAGCTAACTCAAAATACCTTAATTTTAATAAGCAGCCTAAAAATCTTAAAAAGCGGCAACAGTTGAAATTTTTATTTATTATTATTTTTTTTTAAACATTATTTTTTCATAATAATAGTTTTCTATGTAAAGTAAAAAGAAAGCGAAATTACAAAAATTACGTTTTTGATCACAAAAATTACGTTTTTGATCACAAAAACACAAATCACAATAACTCCTATACACTTGCAAGAATCCCTACAATACATATGCGCGAATCCTTACAATACATATGCGCGAATCCTTACAATACATATGCGCGAATCCTTACGCTTTCTAAACTTTCAATTTTGGGCCACTTTTTCAAGCACTTTTAGCCGTATTTTGCGGTTTATAAGAACAATGCTGGCCTCTAAGACGTCAGTTGTTACTGGTTTGTCAGATTAAACCAGTGGCTTCACTTACCCCCACAAGAAGTAATTGATAAGTGGCAAACCGCTAAACCTTTGAGGCCAATTGACAAGTTTGTTTTATAAAATCAACTTATCAAAAATTTTGATTCAATAAGTTAATGGTTGCGGTTGTTGTATGGCACGTAGTGCAACCCTGTTAAAACCACATTTGGTCCAGAACAATATCATCCATATATTCAAACAAAAAATAATTAACAATGGTGTGGTAATGATTCTCATTCACCGTATTGCGAGCTCTGGTTTCATTTTTGAAGAAATAAGATCTGATGGCACCACAAGCGTATTAACCGCACCAAACGATGCAATTTTTTGGATTTAATGGAGTCTGTAGGGTCTCTTGCGGAATGTTTTTGTTTTTTTTTTTGTTTTGGTTTACATTTGTTAATCGTTGTACAGCCCATAATAGAAATAATAATATAAACTTACAATGGCATAAAACATAACAAACATAAACAAGGTATCTTGCCTTGTCGTCAGAACCTTAATAAAGCATTTAACTAATATAAGATTAAAAAAAAAAAAAAAAAAAAATTCTGAATAATTAACTTACAATGGCATAAAATATAACAAACATAAACAAGGTATCTGAAAGAAGATCGCAAGGATCTTGTCGTCAGAACCTTAAAAAAGCATTCAACAAATATAAGATTAAAAAAAAAGATTTATAAATTTTTACAAAATTGCAAGGCAAACAATCTGTCTCTGAAGAAAGATCAAGAGGATCTTCTCATCAGATTTTAAAACAGAGTAAACCAACATATAAATTAAAAAGTAAAAAGTATAAGAACAATAAATAAAATAAGTAGGAATAAACTTCTATAAACATAAACTTCTATTAACAAAAAAAAATAGACTAAAATATATTTTTAAATTTTACTACTAATAATAACTCAATATATTATCTAATGAAAGAATGAGGTTTTTCAGTTTTTTTTTAAAAAATGCAAAAGGTAATAGGGACTTCAAAAATAAAATTCGCCAAAACAATTTATGTCGGTAAGATAAATTATGTTTATAACCAGAGTTTCGTAGTGCTTTATTATAAATAATTATATATTTATATATTTTGTACATTATTATACAAAAAACATTATACAAAGTATACTATATATATATATATATATATATATATATATATATATATATATATATATATATATATATATATATATATATATATATATATATATATATATATTATGTCTTGACCGAATACCATCCAAGTATTATTAATTTTATGTATTTGATTAGTCAAGCAACGTGTTACCCAAAAATTTTTTTTTTGATAAACTTAAACAAAGAGAATTTTTGATCAAGCTATAAACTTTCGTGTTTAATCTTGCTTCAATCGTATACCTTTTGATTTAATGGCATACAATGTTTTACAAATAGTATACAAAATTTTTTGATTCAATAATATACAAAGTAATTTTTTTTTGAAAATAATTTTGTTAAATCTTGATTTAATGGAGTTAATACATTTGCAACCAATTAAAAGCCAACTTGGTGCAGATGCTGCAAATCAAATTCTACACTGCAGAATTTATTTTTGAACGGATCAGAAAAATTGATTGCGATTCTGCGCAATTTTTTATCGCTTTTTAACGCCCAATCGAAACAACCCGCTTTTGTTCTAACCGTCAATGTGATAACCCCAGTGCTTAAAGTATTAAAGCCACACATAGACCGCATCAATCCAATCTTAAAATGGAGATTAGAACATTTGTAAAACACTCATTTTATGGCCAACATTAAAATTTCTTGTCAAGATAAAACAATAAGTTTATAACATCAATATCAATTTAAAACAAACTTGTTTGCTCACAATAAGGAGGTTGTATATAGTAGCGAATTTCATAAAACAAACTTGTTTGTTCCTAATACGAGGGTTGTATTTAGTTTTATTTGCATATAATAGGGTAATAATGTATGTAATTCCTCATACGGAGATTGTATAGGATTTATTCACAAACATCTTTAGTTTAGGAACATAAAAAGTTTGTTATTTGTGCTTTATAGTGATCATATTAGTATGGGATAGTAACATATGATCATATCTACGAGTTATATTAATATGGCTAGTGAATTCTTGAGTAAAAAAGTAACGCAATAAGATTAAATTCAACGATAAATCATTTAATCTCGTATACCTTAATTCTTACTCATCCTTTCTTTTTACCTGTAGTTTCCACTAAATCTCTTTTCCCTTTTCCCGAATATTTAATTGATCACCATCTACTTAAACAACTAAAGTATTTAAAATAATTGTTAATTTATATTAAATTTATATTTACTTAAATTTAATCAATCAAAATATTTATGCATTGCAAAAAAAGCTTTTAGGTAATGTATAAGTTTTACTAAAAGTATAGTTTTCATTATTACATTTTTAAAAATTTTTACTTTATTTTGATAGTTTCAAGCCAGGTCTTAGAGTATCAAGTAGAAAGTGGAACAAACATTACTCTTGACTGTAAAGTGTCATATGTTACTTACAGTACAATTATTTGGTATCGTAATCAAACGGATATGATAGCTAAAAAAGACGGGAGTGGAGAGGTATAAAAAATGAATATTGATGACCTAAAGCAAAAAGGACCAAAGTCATACTTTTACTTTTTTAGATAATAACAAAAACTATTTTTTTAAAATCCAGTATAAAAAATGTTCTGTCATCACATGTCATCACTATCATCACATGTCATCACTATCATCATCTGTCATCTGTAAATCACATATTATGCGACCCATACGTGTAATAACAGAACCTGCTTTATGTTGAATCTTTTAGATTTAAAGGCCACTTTTGCTTTAGGCTGTTATAATATTACACTTTTATAATTAATTATATTAATAATTATAATAATATTAATAATATTTATATTAATATTATATGTTACTATAATATTTCTATTATATATTATATTTATATAATATTTATTTTATACTTATACTTCGAAGTCTCCTTTCTAATCTTTTAATGCTGTTGTAATTTAAAAGTTAAACCAAAATGCAACTTTCTTTTCTAGGTGACACGTTATCTTAAAGAGCGTTTCGATATTGTTGGTCAATCTTTACTTATAATAAACTCGAAAACAACCGATGAAGCTATTTACCACTGTGAAATGATGCATAATCAATCCAAGATAATAGGAAGGGAAATTAAACTTATATTGGAAGGTAAATTCGTTTAAATTAAGCTTTAATTAAGTAAATGATATTTATGAAATATTTTTATGATAATGTAGTTATATCGTTATAAGTGATGCCCAATTTTTAAACTAAAAACCAAATTTTCTTTAGAACTTATGCATAAAACATTAACAAAATTTAAGCGGTCATTAAGTCGGTTAAGAGTCATTGTTTTCACGTAATTGAAATAAGTTTGTGCCATCTACAAAACATATTACCATTGAATTTGACCCTTTGTGATGTTCAGTTATCTATATTATATTTAGGAGTGGTCCAAGCTTGGTTCCAGTACTTGTTTTAGTCTTAGTCAGAGAATGTTTAACATCGCTTGTATTCAATTATATCTATGATAATAAATCTTCATCATAAATTTTTAATAACAGATTAATTTCGAAACTAAAACTGCTAATATGTTGTTGTTTTTAAAACAGAAACATACCAAAATTTTATTTATTTACAACAAAATTTATTTTACTTAATTTCATAAGCTTGGTTTAAATAAAGCTTGGTTTTATACCGTTAAATTTTTGAGATGTCTTAAACTGTATTATGTATAAATCAAATTTGGTTTGAAAGATTGTGTTCCCCATTTCTGAGATGAAGTTAGAATAAATTATTATTGGCTCCGAAATACAACATTGTAAAGCTCGTAGAAGTCTTTGTCGGGTAATTTCTCGCTGACATTTAATCATTTTATTTCTAAGTTTCTTAAAAATAAAATTTGTAGCTCCTAGATTTAACTTGATTCAACTGATTTGCAACATCTTTAAGTTTTGAAGTCTCATTTCAAATGAGAAAAAGATGTCAACTTTACATTTAAGTAATTTGAACTCTAAACATTTTCTGAGCTTTTACTTGAGTCCTCCAAAAAAGTTATACTTTTATACAATTTCTCACTCAGAACTTGGAACTTTTAACAATAATAGCTATTAATTAGCATTAATAATGACATTAATTGCAAATAATATTAATAATGATATTAATAATGATGTTAATTGCAAGTTAGCTTGTTTTAGTTAGTTTTAAGTTAGTTTTAAGATAAATTCAAATCAAAATCTGATTAATTGAAATTTTGTAAAAATTTTTGTAAAACTTTTTGTTTAAATGATGAACAAAATGTAGGGAAAAACATTTTTTCAAAACTATCATAGTGAACGTGTTAGCGGTATCGCAAATGGCAGTGGTATCTGAGGATGGATAATTAACTTCAAGAGTTAATTAACCATCAAGAGTAAGGAATTATTACAAAAAAATCAATTTTTAAGAATAGATCACGTTTCTTCTCCGATCCTGTTCCTTAAAACAAAACAACAGTACTTTGCAATGAATTTGCAACCAACGAACTTTAAAAGAATATTACGTCCGTTAATAAAAAATCTAAATGTTGATAAAATAAAATGAAAGCTTTTCTAGCCTGAAAAACTCACTAAAAAATAAACTGCCTTCTTTAAACCTGACCACTTTATTAATAATATAAAAAATTGATAATATTTTTAGAAATGAAACTTTAATTTTTAACAACTAATTTAATAATTAAAATTTAAATGTATAGGAAACTTGTTTAATGTATTTATAAACATTTAATTTAGACTCCAAAAAAGTAATTTTCATAAAGATAAACATTCAACCTCTACACCTTACTAAATATCAACTTTGCTTTTTTTATCCAGGTCATTCTCTTTGGAATAAAATTGTTTTGCCTAATTTTGATTAAAGAGGTTAATTAAATTTCTTCTTTTTGTCCATGGTCACTATATCCAAATATAAAATATTTTGCGTTAGACTTTGTTTTAATACAATTAAATTTTACGACTTGCATTTTTTTAAACTTAACTTTAGAGGCAAACACCATACACCATATGATTTTTACACCATATGATTATACTATCACTATCTTTTTGCAATAAATTAGCATTTTCAGATGTCTTAATAACTCCGATTATCCTTCTATTATCAGCATAGAGTTTTATAGAATGATATAAGTAGCTAGGTATATCATTGAAATAGAGAATAAACAAAAGAGGGTCTAGTACAAAACCCGAGATACACTACTATTAAAGTCTTTTCATTTAGATATAGAATCACCAAATACTACTCTTTGTTTTCTGTTTCTTATCCACGCTTTGATCTATGCAATAAATTGATTTTGTGCGCCATGTGCTTTTATTTTATGAATGAATCGTCAATGGGATACTTTATCAAACGCTTTCATCAAATCAGTATATGTCAACTCGATAATTGTCTTGTATAGCTTTTGCAATCATGTCCATAGTTTCAGGAAAATTGGTAACGCAGGCTTTTTTATTTAAATAAAATCGTGTTAAAATTTTAAGATAATATTGTTTTCATTACAGTATTTCATAAATGCTTCATTAATAAAATTTTCTATAATTTAACTTACAATAAGTGTTAACGAAACTCCTTCGTAATTTGAAGCTTCTGTATTACTGATTTTCTTCTAATTTACTATCTTTCTTCTTAAAAATTGGAGTAACATTTGCCATTTCCCACATATCAAGAATTTTACCACTTTTCAATAAAAGAATGTTAATGGAATGGCAAAACCTTATGCACACTCATTGAAAACTCTAGGATGAATGTTGTCGTATCTTATTATAGTTTTCAGTTTTCAAATTTGTTCATGAACAATTTCTTCACTTGTTACTCGCTCATTTCTGTCTTGTAGAATGCTTTTGTTTGTGTGTTGTAGAATGCTTTTGTTTCTGTGTTGTAGAGTGCTTTTGTTTGTTGGCGATAATCTGAGGACTAAATGGCTCTTCTTTAAATACTGAGTAAAAATAACCAATTGATTGCATTCATTTTACTTATGTCTTTTTGAGCACTAATTCATTTTCTTGGTGTTGGCTTTAGATGCATGAATGAGTTTTACATATGGTATTTTCAATTAACTGCTCCTTGTAGTTTTATATTCCTCAATTTACATCTTCTTTAACGCTCTTACAAGCTATTTTATATTCGGATTTGATATTGTTTTTATGCGCATTTTTTCCATTAGAGATATTTTGCCCACGATTCACGTTTATTTCTCAGTTTATTTTTTTCTGCATAATCCATAAATCCTTTTCTTCACAGTAATTCATTAAATTTTTGTTCAATGAATTTGTTGCAAGCTTTTTCATATTCGATAATTAGTTATTTGTAACACGAATTGACTGATAGATCTTTAAATAATTCAACCCAATATTAAATAAAATTCAAATTAGTTCAAAGTATTGAAAAAAATTTTAAAGTAGCTCAAAGTATTAAATAAAGTTTCAAATTAATTCAAAGTATTGAAGAAAACTTCAAATTTTTTCAAAGTATTAAATAAGTTTTAAATTAATTAAAATATTGAAGATATCAAATTAGTTCAAAGTATTTAGGAAATTTTCGAATTAGTTCAAAGTATTGAAGAAAATTTCAAATTAATTCAAAGTATTGAATAAGACTTCAAATTAGTTCAAAGTATTGAAAAATATTTTTGAAGAAAATTTCAAATTTGATAAAAATTTGATAACTTTTTTTCTAATATTACTATTTTTTTTTTTTTTTTTTTTTTTTTTTTTTTTATTTGATAAGGTATGGAAAAGTTTTTTATTTTTATTCGAAGACGTTTTTTGTTTGTTTAATAAACTTTTTTTTTTTTAAATAACATTATTTTACACAACGCCAATTTTTCCATAAATATTTCTTTTTCCATAGTAACTATAACATTCGTTACACAAATAACATTTTACCCTTATTTTCTTTCGTTTTATTTAACTCGCCGTAACTTTGTACGAAAAGTTACTGGTACTGTAAAAGTGGGTAAACTTGCGCAAAAATTATATTTTTTTAACCTTTAAAATTTTTTAAATCTAATTTGAACTTGTATTATAGTTTTTAGCAATCTTTTTTTAAAGAAATATAAAACCTATTATTTTTTTTTTAATTATTTTTTACTAATAAGAAGTAATTTTTTAGCAACAAATATGTTAACCGGGGGTTAGGATAAGAAAAATTAGAAAAAACTTCACGATTTGTGCAGATTGATCCAAAGTTTTATATTTATAAAGCTTTATATCTTACTTATTGAACAATAAATTTAAGAAGAGTTTAATTAAGAACAAAAGATCAATTTGACTATTATTTTGGTTAATAATTTATTACGTTTGGTAAAAAAATTATGAACAACTCACGTATATTAAACTAAAAACAACAAAGCATGTTTCTATGTTTTCTGAAGTACCGATTAAACATTTGCGCTCGTTTACTTGAGATCAAAAATCCTCAACGTTTTTCCGACCACCTAGAGCTTACTATAATTTTTTATTATTGTTGTTAAATTTAAACATCTTTTAAACTATTAGTAAAAAAACTTTAAATTTAGCAACAAAAAAAAAATTCTAATACAATCCAATTAATAAAATTGGCTTGGATAAAATTTTTAAGATTTTGGGTGTCAAATAAACGGACGTAGTTTTGTTTATGTTTTACACAAATTTATTTGTAAGCTATGGATATCTTTTTTTCCGATTGGAAATACAAATTATTAAACTTGGAATTTGAAATAAAAAAATACTTTTACCAGGTTTCAAGTTGTTTATTTTTCAATTTGTGACAAATCGTTTTTCGAATAACACGATATTTGTTATCGTTCTTCGAATAAAACGATATTTAGCAGCAGCTTGGTTTTCTGTCAGCATTTTATAATTTGCATCTTTAAGACAATTTGGATCATCATCTGTTTTTGTTTTTTTTTTGTATTTTCTGGTTATGTAACAACTCGACATGGGAAAAAAACGTATACATCATTTTGATTAAACCCTGAATTTACCAGAGAAATTAGTTTGACTCTGGATTTACTCAAGAAATGAATTCATTATGCAAAAATATACGTAATAACTCTGCTCAAGTATTATTGTAATGTGGAAAAGAGCGCGTAAAAAAAAGTTAAAAATAAATCTTTTTTTTTTAAGTTTTTAGATATTTAAAGACAGTTGTGGTTATTTTCCACATTAAATTTATCCAAACTTTTACCAAAAACGTTTTTAAGCTTTAATTTTCTATACCTTAATCAGCATGTTTAAAACATTGTATACTTAAAACTATTGTGATAAACACTTTCAGTAGTTTACTCACTTTTGGGTTCAATTCCGATCTGCTGCAAATATAAATTGTGCAAGAAATCTATATATACTTTGCTTTTTGTTGAGTGTTTACTCGTCTATTACTCGTGTTGCCTGAAATCACGTTAAAATTACTAATTTACACAATTTTCATATTGTAGCTATCGAGAATAAGCGATATCTAATATCGATAACAATCGGGAATAAGTGTTGCAGTTGGAGTTCAAATTTTTAACTGCTACAAAGTATAACTCTTTAAAGTGTTGTGCAAGGTTTCTTAAGGTCGCGAGATGTTTAGTTGTATCATGAAAATTGTTACAACATTTCGTTTATTATGGAATATAGTGAGACAGATAAACAAGTAAGGAACCCATTTCTCTTCGGAAATAGATACTTAAAAAAAAGTTTTTTTAGAATTTCGGAATAAAAATGCTTACATATTTTCTTTAATTTACTTTTGAGCACTATTTTATGCGTTTTATTATTGTCCCGCCTCTGCGAGTAATCTACCACTGTGCCACTACTGCGAGTAATCTACCACTGTGCCGCTACTGTCTTAGTTTTTATCTTTTAAATTGCACATTTAATAAACACGTTAAAATAAAATTAAAATTTTTGTTATTTGATAAGTAACAAGATGACTTGGTAACTTGAAATTCTTTTTATTTCTATCTTTTGTATTCGAAAGCAAACAAATCGTTGAATTTTTCGTTGTAAAAGCTATCGCAAAACAACTTGAAAAAGAAAGTAAACAGTTTTTATAATTTTCGTTTGTCTATTCTCTAGTACAGAGATCTTTTTTTTTCAGATCAAAAGTTAAAACTTTAACGTTGTGCAGAACATCCAATATGAACAATTTGCGCATAGCAAGATTTAAAGAAGTATATATAACACTTTGATAATAAATTTTTTAAATATATTTATTACATCAAAATAATCGATATCACTCACGCTGTTTTTTTTTTTTTTTAACGAAAGAATAAAAGTTCGGCTTTTAGTGTTTATTGCGTAGGAGAGCTGAATACTTAGTATTTTTTTTAAACGTGATGAAACTGCCGAAATTTTTATTATGGAGTTTAAATAGAATTGTTTTCTATTACTTTATAGACATTTAGTTTGTGGTTATTTGAAATTGATTTAACTCATCTAATTATTTATTGGAAGAAATTTATAATGTTTTGTGACGTAAAGTTTATTAATAAAATTTGTCATCGGTTTCTCCGAATCCCGCGAATATGTTAATAGAGATTTGGTAAATAAAAATTGATTTCAACGATACTTTAACAAACGGAGTTTCGAAAAGAATTTAACACAAGCTTTATTCTTTGTTCTTTAGAAATCTAACTAACTGTAAAAAAAAATTAAAAAAAAAAAAAAAATATTTTATATTGAATTCACGCTGTGCAAAAATTAATAAGCGACTGATTTATGGACAAAAGAAATATGTTAAAATGGTTTGCATTTTATTTTATTGCTGCTTCCGTTACAAAAGCAATTGGTAGGTGTTTTTTTTTACATTTGTGTTGATTTTCTTTTATTACATAGCTCTTTAAAAAAATAAAAAAAACGTCTATATTTTTGAAAAAAAAAATTAATTATTGCTGGCTGATTGTGAAGCATTAGAAAATGTATAACATAAAAATATTTTAAATGGGTTAAATGGGATACTTTAGTTCACTTAATGTTAACTGAATATATTTAATTTATATTATCTTCCTGAGCTCGTCTTCAATTAAGACTTTGTCTGATTGAACTGTTTCAGTTTGACATAGTAAATAAAGCAAATGCGACATTTTAATTAAGTCCTAGCAAGAAAATCTTTTATGCTAATTAAAACAGTAATTTTTATACTTTGTTATTATATTTTGTAAGAATATTTGAATTTTTTTTTTTTTCCAACATTCTGTGTTTGAACATTAAATTGAATCAATCTAATAATAATTTATTTCCATCGATTTTTTTTTTTTTTTTCAAATGCTATGGCATTTGAAAAAAAAAAAAAAAAAAAATACGTGACGTATTCTTAAGTCAAGAATTATTTGCGTATTCTTGTTTAACTCTGTGTGTAATAACGCCTTATAAGAAATAAACAATGAAAGTACTTATGTTTCTATTTATTAACGTAAATCTAAAGTCTACTATCTAAATCTAAAATCTATAATATTAGTTCAGATTGGCTAATAATAATATTGGTTTAGTGGTTGTAAGCTAACTAATAAATTTCGTAAAAATACAATTAATTTTATTTACCGTAGCTGGTTAGTAACTTTTAAAGACATAAATACAGTTTATGTAAGACATACCAAAATTAATTTGTAACCCGTTTACGAAAATTAAAACTGTCTATAATTTCTTTTTAAAATCTTTTTGTTTTTAAAGCAAAATTATAAAGAAGTAGTTTTGTTTAGGAGCAAAATTTTAAGTGATTAAAAATATTTTAAATAAATATTTTGAAAAAATTTCTACTTCCATAGTAACTAAAACATTCAAAATGTTTCTTTGTTAACATAAAACATTTGTTTGAAACGAAAAACATCGAAGTTTAAAAGAAACTAACAAGATGCCATGCAAATAAATAACTATACGTGAATAATTTTTATGCAAGTAAACGGAGCCATAAAGCTTATATTAAAGCTAATATTATAGACTTTATTACTTAATGTTATAAAGTTTATTTCTAATGTTTATGATTTATAAACTTATAAAATAGTTTATAAACTTTACAAATGAAACGTAAACATTATCATACTCATAGACTTGCAATATTTTTTTTTTCTCCACGATGTTTTAATGATTTCTTTTATGTCAATGTTTACACTATATTATGCATTGAGAAAATGCTTAATGCGAGTGATTTTTTAAAAATTGAGACAATTTCACAAAGTTATTTTAAAAAACGAGCTGTTTATATAAAAGTAATGAATGGACCTTACGTTAAAGGTGAACTTCATGTATAACTTTCGAAATATTGAGCTCTGAGTCATAAAAAAGAAAAAGTGCATAAATTTTAGTAAATGAATGTAAAGCAAACAATAAAAAAGCAGAAAAATGCCACAAAATTAAAGATTAAACCACACCCCTTATTATATTTTTTTTATTTTTTTGAGATCTTTAAATTCATATTATTTTCATATTTTTTTAATTTGTTCAAAGAATATTTTTAGCAATTTTTGTTTATAAAATATTAATATTTTTAGCAGTTATTATTATTTTCTTTAGCAATTATTATTATTAATTTTAGGTGTTATTTATTATTAATTTTAGTAATTAATGAATGGTTAGAAGTTGGTTTTATGCCTAATTATTAAAGGATGTTTGGAACAATGTTAGTAAAGATTACTAGCATACACTGGGCCAATTTTTTACTCTCCAAGAAATTCAGGGAGATGGTATAATGCCTAATATCTGTAAAAATCTATGTAAAACATGAATAAAATAAATAACTTACAAAGAGTTTGGAATAAACATGTTTTTCTAGCTTTTCAGGGGGCAAGCACTTTAGTAATATCATCAAAATTAAGTTGACGTCAAAATGAGGTTCACGTGCAAATTCACATTCATTGACAAGAATATTAAAATTTGAAAATATTTCTTGACTTTTTGAACGAATAACATTTTTTATTTAAGCTAGTTAAATATAATAGCCATTCAGCTTCCGCCACAGTCATTGGAACCGTGCAACGTTTTCTTAATGCAGTACAAATGTTAAGAAGTATGTTTAAAATATTAAGTGTGTTCAATTTTTAAACGTGTGTTAAAAAGTTTTAAGGGAAAAATAATGTCATTTCCGAGGTTAGCAGTATGAAATGTAGTTTTTGTCTCTTAGTTTGTTTTCTTAGTAACTTTTCTCTGACGTTAATTCATTGACAAATGCTTTTAACTTGTTTTGTTTTCTTTCTTTTCATTTTCTTTGATTTGTTCATTTAATTCATAATATTTCCTAAAGAAAATAATTTTATTCCGACTTTTGCATTATAATTACGAGTAGACAAATTTGATAAACTGAATCCATCTTAGGAAAAAATACATCAGTCTTGAAGTTAATCTCTTGTTCAATTATAAATGTTTGCTCATTGTATTCTGGATCATTAATTTGTTTATCAAAAAATTCATTAAAAAAATATGGGTTTCTTGAACCTTTTAGATGATTTTTTCACTGCTTCTGCTACCAATTTTTGTTTTACTCAGCATATATATTCTGAATGCAAATATAACAATACTATCTTATTAAGGTGCCCAACATACATATCTTGACTTTTTCAAAAAAAAAGTTTTTTTGTATTTTAAGTGTTTCTGAAGCAGACTTTTATCTTCTTTAAAGTAATATATGGATCATTAATGTTAGATTTATATAATTTTTCTTATTTCTCATTTTAATATGGTGGTATACAAGGTTTTTTTTCACATTGTTGATTTTAAAGTTTTTATTCATTTGTAACTTCAACTGTTAGGTCAAGTATTTGCTTTCCAACTAATCCTCAATTCCGTATTGATTTAATGTTTTGCATTATGATGGAATGCAGATGAATGCAGTTTTAGTATACTTTGTTTTACACAAAAAATAGATTTTTCAGCAATTATTTTATGGTAAGATAACCGTTGATCTAATGCACGAGATCGACAACGTTTTGCAAGAATGAAGAAACAATCTATTCCAATCGTTAAAAAACAAAGGGAAAAATTGAGAGCAGTCTAAAGGATTTATGAAATAAAGAAATGGGTATAAGGTATATAAATTTTAAGCCGCTTGTTAGTTTTTAACATATCTTAAAGAAGTTTTTAATATTGTTTTAGACAAAAACTTGGTTTTTTTCATGGGTATGATTTAAGCTAATTTTTAAAATTTTTAAAATTTTAAAACTTAAGATTAAAATAGGTTGAAATTTTCAGAAAAGAAAAAATAAATAAATACTTTTGAAGTATTTTGTATTTTGTATTTTTTTATTTATAATCCATGCATCATAGGCTTTGATAAAAATAAAAATTGCTATGTCAAATTGATTTTAATATCATTTTGAAGCTATGTTAAAAGTTTGATTTGTTTACTGTGTATATATCTGCAGGTATCGTCTTTTAAAATGTTTCATATTTTTGCCTCGATTTAAAGATGAGAGCAAAATAGAAAGTTAATGTCTTTAAAATATTTTTCTAGTTATAGAGACATATTGCAGAAGACGTTATATATATATATATATATATATATATATATATATATATATATATATATATATATATATATATATATATATATATATATATATATATATATATATATATATATATATATATATATATATATATATATATATATATATATATATATATATATATATATATATATATATATATATATATATATATATATATTAAAATACCATTGAAATTTTCGAGAGAAAGCGTTATATAACGTAATATATTATCTAACGTAATACTTAGATTCAAAGTTAAATTCATTACGTAAAAATTGGAAAATAAAAAAAAAAAGTTTTCATGCCACATTCAATAGACATTATCAGTCTATTGAATGTGGCATAAGTTAATAAGTGTTGTCTGTTCTATGTGCGCAGAACCTGCTGTGGTATCAATTATTACCAAATTATATTCAGCTTTTGTTCTTTCTGACAAAATGTTTTTAACTCTAAAAGCAAAAACTAGGATGAATTCAATTTTGGACTTTTCCAGTAGGTAATGACTCTTTGTCATGTAATGACTTTTACATTATTAAGTAATGTACTTGTATTTTTTTTCTTGTAATTCAAAAAAAATAATAATTTAACATTCAAAATACGTTTCAGAAGTTTTTTTCCAGACAATAGTTTGTGACAATATAAAGTTCACTTCTACTTGTTCTACTTTACGCCCTTGTCGACAACACTATATGTGATCGTTACTTTAATGGTGGTCTAGAATTTTTCTTATGTAATTTTAACCATTTTAATGTCTTAGTCTTTAAATGACCTAACGTAATTGAACTATTTTCCTGTTATACAAACTTTTCTCTGCGAGATTGCATTTCCAGCGGGTACAGCACATTTGCTGGACGTCTTAAATTCATCATACGGACTGGTGACGTCTATAAGGCGTTGTATAGATGTCTTACAGACGACTATGCCCGCCTTCAAAGTCAATGCTCTCAGCAAGCATTTGATTAAAATTAATGCGAATTTAAAAAGACATTGTTTTGCAATGTTGATTCCAGATTTTTTAAAACCTTTAGTCTACTGAAACTACTTTTGTCATAAGCAGATATAAAAGGAAGAGTCAAGTCGATTTTGTAGAAAATAGACAAGTTAGGAAAACATGATGTCAACTATTTCTTTATCAAGATAGGATGTCCGTTTTTCATTTGTAGTTCCGTCGTCGTTGCATAAGATATTGATGCATACATTTTAAAGGTAGGGCCAGTGCGAGTAGGTTTCAAGTAGGAAGGTACAACAAACAACAAACCAATCTGTTATCTAAAAAATCAAAACTCCCTGAAAATCTAATTGAAAAATCCAATTATGAATTTGAACAAGTATTTTGAATTTTTCTAGCCTAAATAACTATTTGTTATCAAAAAAAATCCTATAAACTGGCAAAAAAAAGAACAAAAAACAAAAAAAAATATTTAAATAAATATAATAAAAGATTTTAATTTTAATATAATAAAATCCTACAAACAATCGAATGAAATCATGACCTAAATGTTGTTTATGTGTATTACACTTTAACTGAATGTTAAAAGGGCGGAATTCCAACTATGAAAACTTTCGGGAAACTAAAAAAAATCTGCATTTTCCGCCGAAGTAAATTTTTGGTAATGGTTTAATAGTTTTTTTTGAAGAGGATAATGTTTTTCACCTTCAAAACAAATTATTGAACTGCCTGGTGTGCTTCCTTTCATCAATTCTAAACTTTATATGTGGAAGTTGTATTGATTACTGTAATAAAAACGGGGCAAAATTTTTTTTAGTTTCCCAAAAGTTTTGATTATTGGACTTCCGCCCTTTTAACATTCATTGATTCAATTGTAAGGCAAATTTAGTGATGACAAGGCAATTTAAGTCTTCCGGGATGTTTTTTAAAACTGCATTCAAATGTTTTACATTTTTTGTTTTACATTTACATTAAACACAATTATTTACTTTTGTGCTTTTATTATAACGCTAAAGTAGTTTGTTACGTTATTTTACTAAGATTTTTACAGATAAATTTATTTGGGATATTAAGTATATATTCAAAAAAATATATATATTTATATATAGAAAGACCAAACTGTGGCGGAGTTGAGAAGAAATTAATAGAAGCCGCTAACGGTAGCAGTTTTTATATACCTTGTCGTGTGAATGGAAACCCTTATCCGACAATATCTTGGAAAAAAGAAAATTTTGAAGTTCTTCCGAAACATTTCACAATTACTGAAGACGGCTTGAGTTGTAATAGTGCAAGTATGAACGATGTTGGTAAATACTCTGTCACTCTTGAAAGTGCGATTGGCCGGTTTTTCTTTGTTACAACCGTGAACATAATATGTAAGTTCTTTTTTTGTTGTTGCTTTTTTTGTTAGGAGAGACCAGATTTAATAAGCTTTTTTACTTTGATCATTTTTGCCCTAAAAGTGCATTTTTTTTGTAAATAGTGATGTAATGATTTTTTGTTTTTCTAAAGAGTCTGTAAGTGTAACATGTTTAAGTTGCATTTCTCATTAAAAAAATTTCCTTATGATCCAACCGGAGCCGCAAAATAAAAAGCGCATACTGACCCGGATATGGGGTAAGTTGGCACAGTTTAATTAAACAAATAAAAAATTGAATTTAAAAACTTTTTTATTTTCATATAAATATATGTAAACAAGTTTAGACAACAATTTCTATAGTTTTTATAAAATAAGCCAAGTATTTCCGTGAAATATTTTGTTTATAAATGTAAAAGCCTTAAATAATTTTTCCTTTATTAAAAACTAATAATAATTTTTGTAAAGTAAAAAAAGAAAGAGAACAAAAAGTAGTTTTTGTCCAAATAAAAAACAAGTCACACGGCGATTTAAGTGTTATGTACTCTTTAAGCGCGAATCCCTTCAATACTACATCAAAAGATTAAAGCAGTGGTAGCGCACTTGCCTCAGAAGCAAAGGATCCGTGGTTCAAAACCCACCTCTGGGCAAGTTTTGCGACATCGGTTAGGAAGGGGGTGTGAACTTCCGATTAAATGCTCATCCGCGGTGCTCTGTGATAAGACCGTAAGGACTTCTTGGGGCACCTTAATAAAAAAAAATAAGATGAAATGATCAATTAGAAATGTTTTTTGTGATTTCTGATGGATGGCTCTGAAGTTAAACGCATATCGTCAACTTACCCCTGCCACCACTAACCCCAGTCTCTCCTTAACTTTTAAACATTGTCATAAGATTGTGTTCCAAATATACAAAATTATAGTAAGAGAAAAATTAAAATTTGCAATAAATTTTTTTCTTTAGTTTATAACTAATGCACTAAATAAATTATTATTGCTATTATTATTTTGGAAAACTTGACGGGAAATATTTTGCTTGATTTTCGTGGAAAATAAATTATTTTTGTTAAAAACGTGAGCACGTTATTCGTATTGCATGCGGTGAATTTGATCGGTTCGCTAACGGTTTAAAAAAGTAAAAAAAAAAGCATATGTATTTTTTCCCACTGTTAATTTTATTAGCAGTAAAGATATTTTAACTTTAATTGGCGTTGATGTTTTATTTATATTATATCAAAGCAATTCTAACAATAAATTGGAAATATCAATGGTAATATTTTATTTACGTCTATTTAAAAGTTATGAATTTTCCACCTGGGAGGAGTGTTTTTGAATACAGTTTTAATGTTTTTTCACTTAAAAATTTAAAGTATCTTTTTATTGTTGGTTATGTTTGAGAAGAAGAAAATAATATCAAAATGGAAATCTTTTATAAATAAACCATTAAAGTTGTAATTTTATGATTTGTCTGGAAATTTATTAAAAAGTTTTAAAACATTTTATGTTATTGAACAGATTTTTAAAAGGAGTTGTTTATTTGAGTTTTAAATTTATTAAGTTAACCGAGATTTTAAACCAATAACTCAACATAATAAAATAAGAAAATTAATTTTTTTTTTTTTTGGAGTTTCTAATTTATAACACATCAGTAACTTTTGATTTTTTTAAATCTTAATCAAACGTTCCATCAAATAAATGTTGCCTAGCACTTCAGCTCGATCTAAAACAGCAGTTAAATTGTTTTGACTGATGAATAGTTCGAGCTTACATTGAGGTAATCTGATTTTTTACGATAAAAGTTATTAAATGTTTAAATTTTAAAAACATGCCGCAGATATATATATTAATCTCAGTTGTGTAAGCAAATTTAGATACCGGGTCATATTATATTCAATTTCTAACAGTGATGTAGATAAATAGTTGTAGGAGGTAAGAAGTTTTATTCAGTTAATTATTATAACCCAAGTTTGTAAATTTGTTGGTAAAAAAAATAATTTTTTTTTAAAAGAACATTTTTAAAATTGTCGGTAAAAGGTAAAATGTCTGAAAATAAAATATATTAATTAATATGACTAGCTGGTAAACCCATATTACGGACGAGAACTCCCCCTCCCCCTCTTTAAGTTATATGTACAGCAATTATGGTTCAGATAGATTCTTGGTTAGAATATTAATTTGTGACCATAAATAACCGATCATATTATTATTAGAAAAGCGCTGAAAGAGCTTGAGTACTAGTTTACATGCATATTTTGGCATTTTGACTCAACGTTAAATGCATACAAGTAGTAATTTTACTGTATATATAGTGGAATAATGATTTTTTGATTAAAACTTTATACTTTGTAAGTTCACATTTTTTAAAAAAATATTATGGAATCTTTTAATATTTAAGGACCGGTAGCAGTCCTTAATACTAATTTTCATAAGTTTTTAAAAAAAAAAAATACAGTGGCCTCTATTATTAACGCAAGTTTATGTGTTTTTTAAGCTAGTTTATGATAATATTGGTAATGTCCCAACATTATCATAAACTAGCTTTTTTACGAACCACCCTAACCAAAAACAACTTTCAAAAAGAGAGCCCTGAGTTCACTTAATTTTACCATTGGTTCTTTAAAAGCAATTTTTTATAAAAAATAACATACATTTTACAAATCTTTCAAACCGTTCCTTTTGTTAATTTTCTATGAAGCAAAAATAGTAAAGTATATAGCATAACATTTATATTTTTATTAATACCTTAGAATTAGATGAAAAGTTAAAAGAACTTCCATTTTCATTTTATTTATAAGATAGGAAGTCTTTAAATTCACACGGATGATGAATAAAAAGGGAAATCATAAAACCATGACAACTTCTTTAGAAATGGAGTGCAACTGTGTATGCAATGAGTAAAGACAAAATAAGGATTTATTCAGATTATTTCAAAAACTTTTCAGAATTTTTGTTTACTAAAACATCTCAGTATTTTAAAAAAGTTTTTTTTGAAACGAATGTTTAACAGAAAGCTCAGGGATGTTTCTAAACTCGACGATACGTCAATTTATCTGGCTTTTTCTTATATCAGGTGAATATAACTAATTAAATTTTTTCGTGATAAAATATTGAGATATTCAGACTATTTTGTGTTTGGAAAACATTAGAGAGAGAGAGAGAGAGAGAGAGAGAGAGCTAAATTAAAGAAAAAAAGTTATTTTTTATTCATTTACGTGATTTATCATTACCTCTATCGTATTATGTTTTTTATTATTATTTCTGCTTTTTTTATTTTATTTTATCTATTATTATTTTTTAATATTGTCGTTGTAAGAAACTTAAGGCTGAAAAACAACAAAAGTTATAAAAACTATATATACAAGAAGTGTGACAAGCATTGAGCTTGCAAAAAAAAAAAAAAAAACAGCAAGAAATCCCATGCAGAAAAAACAGAAAATATAAGTAACCAGTTTATTAATTACAGAAAGCATAAGGAATCAATTTATAAAATCTGAAACACTTTGTTAACATACAACAAGCCATGCACACCTAAAATTTAGGAAACTCAAACAGTGCAGTATACTCCGTAGTTATATTTGGAATGAACCAAATAACTATAAACTATGTTTGTCTTTTGTCGCAGCGTCTCTATAAATGATTTATTTAGAAATGCTTAAGAAACGTAATAATAATAATAATTATATATATATATATATATATATATATATATATATATATATATATATATATATATATATAAATTACTGAATAAACTACACTTTTTCATTTATTTCCTTTTTTTTTTGTTTTTTTGTTGTTTTTTTAATTTGGACGTCATTTACATCTTTTGTTTATTCTAATTAAATTTTTTTAATTTAATAAGGAAAGTTTTAAAAGTTTAGTAAAAAATAAACGAATAGAAGTATAATACAAACTTATAAGATTATCTGTCATTGTCTTACTTATATACATATTATTAGTTCTACTTGTATAAATATGTTTAAAAAAGCATGTTTAAAAGATAATAAGTAGATAAAAAAAAAAAAATGAATGGACAAAAAGACAAAAAAAAATTTTTCTTAAAAATAATGACGTCGGGTATATTTATTAACATACATTGCTAGTTGTCATGGTAAAAAGTGTCGCTTTAAACTTTTTTGTGCTCAATGTTTACATGAAAAAAAAAAAGCTATAAATACCCCGAAGAAAAGCACCCTGACAAAAATATAAATTAAGTAAAAAAATTGAGTATCAAATACTTATATTTTCTCTTGCAATTTTCGGATGGACGATTGTTTCCACTTGTTGAACAACATACAATTGGAACAAGTGGAAACTTGTTGAACATATCCTATGTGTTTATGTATTATTTTAAGTCGCTTTAACCGGTCACTGGCAACCATTAAGTGTTACAATATGAACACCAAGTATTAATTACTTATTGTTATGATTAAAATTAACTTATATTACTTATTATTACAATTACTTGTAATTAATTATAATTTTCCACTTATAATTGCTAAAACTATAACAGCTATAAACACTTAAGACGTTGAACTTGATTGAAATTTTGCAACTTGTCTTCTAGACAAATCAATTTTTTTTTAAATAATCAATAGTTGCATAATGTTGTCGGATACTGCAATGACGTTTTGCTTTCTCTCTTGTAAGTGCAAACAATGTTCTTAATACGCAGTTCTAGTAAAGCTTGGTCATTGAAACTCATTGTCGGATGAATAAACATAAATCGAAATTTTTGTTTGATTTTTTTTTTAAATCATTTTTAATTTGCTTTAAAAAATAGATGAGTATAAGAAATTAAAATGTTTATTACAAATATATACATGGTTCGCCTCTTTTTCATTTTGATTTCGTTAGCTGTCGGTTTGATCAAACCAGAAAATTACAAAAGTGCCGTTGAAGGAAGCTCAGTTGAAATTGAATGCGGAAAAAATCCTCTAGAATCTGGATTCCAAGTAAGTTGGTCCAAAAATCGAATTGATTTGACGAACAAGGATCGTTTTAAAACAAATGACAAAGGTTCTTTAATAATCGATCCTGTGGAACAAGATGATAACGGATTGTACACGTGCGCATCTCAACGGATGACGCCCGATGGAGAACTCACTCTGTCTGTTAACATGTATCTTAACGTAAAATGTAAGCATCTGTTAATGTTTTTTTTTTTTAAATTATTATTGTTGATACTGAAATTATATACAGCCATACTTGCTTTTTACCCATTTACAAATTGCCGCTGCGTAAAATCTTACTAAATTTAGTTTTTAATTTTGTCGGGCAGTCAGTTTTTAAATATCCGTCAAAATAAATCTCAGATTCGCTGATGAAATAATAAATAAAAAAAGACCATTGCGCGCAATTCGTAGGTTTTTTAACTAGAATTTTAAACAATGAATTGTTTTATTGCATTGTATAATAACTTTTTTCCATTTATTCTGGATAGTCACGCCACATATTTTCAATATAAAACCGTTTGTTGAAGTATATCGAGGAGAAAATGCAGTTTTACCTTGTTCTGCAAGCGGTAATCCTGGTGTTAATTTTCGATGGTTAGACAGCAATGGGAAAGAAATTAAAAATAATGATAAAATACTGATTGCACACAATGGATCATTGATTGTGCGTAATGCTACTTCAGATGATTCTCGCAGATACACGTGTGCACCGTATAACGATATTGGTGATGGAAAATTTGGATACACTGAACTTTTTGTTTTGAGTATGGATATTTTTTGAATTACTTTTGTTTAAATTTTTACAATAGTTTATTTTAAGCTTGTTTTACTTATATTTGTTTAGTCACTCCCGCATTTTTTACTTTTCCTGACAAAAAGGTTATTGTTCGAGAAGGTGAAAATGCTACCCTAGATTGTACGGCATCAGGCATCCCTAAACCAAACATTACCTGGGCAATTTTGTTTGTTAACATATCGTTAGATCCAAATCGTTTCAAACCCTATTCAAACGGACTTATGAATATACTAGATGTACGTGGCTGCGACGCTGCTCACTACGAATGTACAGTAGAATCTCGTGCTGGTCTTTTGAATAGAGTTTTTGAACTCATTGTAATTGGTAAGTCAATTTAATAGTCTTAAAAATCCTTTTCCCTAATTCTTCAAAAATCTTAGAAATCCTCTCCCCCTTTTCTTAGAAAGTCATAGAAATCCTCTCATACTTTTCTTAGAAAGTCATAGAAGTCCTCTTCTCCTTTCTGACTCCTTTAAAAACATTTTTGTTTTAGATAAAATAACTTTTGATAGATAGTCACAATAGAAACTTTAAAATTTTTTTTCAAGGTAAACCTGGAGTTCCGTTAGACATAACGTTAACATCTTCGAACAATATAGCACATATCAAATGGAAAACTCCTTATACTGGCGGTTCGCCGTTAAGTTATCAGTTTTGGTTCCGTAATGCCACTGATAACGATTACCAGTGGATTATTCAAGAGTCAGATGCCAATATCACAAGCTTTGATTTATTTTTGCCTGAATCAACTGTTGCTCAGGAAGTTACAATGACCTTTTTTTTTTCAATGAGAGCTATGAATCGAGTTGGGTTTGGTGACTTCGGAACTGTCTTTAAGTTTATGAGAGCACCATCACTAACAACATACAACGGACAACCAGTTGAATTTATTTCAGGTGTTTTTTTTTATATAATTTGCTGCTTCTTTATAATGTAAATCTATTTATCAAATATCTTTAAAAGTCATTTTAAATGGGATCATAATAATTTTTTAGAGTTTCCACTTGCTCCCTATGACTTCCATGTCAACATTACTACACCAGGATACTCTCTTAAATGGAAAAACCTAATAGCTCCTGGCCGTCCACCTTTTAGCCATGTGTTGATAGAGTATCGTAAACTGAATTCAACTGACACCTGGTTAGAAATAAAACCACGATTAAGGAAACGACGCTCAACACCTAGCGAAGAATTAGTTGTAATTTTAAATAAACAGGATTTTCCCACCAATACTTTGCATCCTGTGGAGTTTCAACTGATCTCTGTTTCAAAAAATGGAAAACGAAGTGAAGGAGTGGTTCCCAAAAACATTATTATTACAGGTATTTTAATGCAGTTGCTTATTTTTTGATGTAGCGTAATTGTTTGTAGTTTAAATTTTAATTTCATAAACAACTTCAATACTGACACGAAGGTTATTCGACGACAATATTCATTAGGAATTAAAACTTTCCGGTTACCAGTTAATTTTTTGTTTTTTACTTAATTTGAGTAAAGATAGATAAAGTATATTTTGGTTGTAATTTTCAAAAATTCTATTTTTTTTTTTTTTTCTACTTGATTTACTTCAGTTATTTTCTCGAATTGAGATATCAATATATATCTGATATCGTCTAAGATAAAATTCTGATATCAGAATTTGAGAAAATACCCAAAGTAAATAAAGTAAGAAAAAAAAAAGATTGAAGAAATAAAGAGTCCATTTGCAAAACGCGCTAAGACCGAATAATTAATTTTGAGAAAACGACGAAAAACTGAACTACTCAAAGTTGCACATCAACAGAAATTAATATTTTCTTTGTACATTTTTAGAACCAAAAATATTTAGCACAAAAACACTTTTAATTAGTATATTATTTAAATAGATTTTAGTATATAAAATGTGGAAATGAAATTAACTTAAAATTTTTCTTTTTGTGACTTTTACAGCGCGTTTTACAGGTGGGCTTCTCAAATAAGATATGCTCCTCAAATAACGCGATAAAGAAAAAAAGTCAACATTAAAAATAGTGTTGAACGAAATTCGGTTTCAATTATACTACAAAAGTAATCTGCATAAAGTGGCAATCAGCAGGAATAGATTAATATTTCAAAGTTTATAGGGAATCTGTGTAGACAGTGGCGATTCTAGGAACAAAATGAGAAGGGGGGGGGGGCTGAGGGAGGGGGAGGGAGGAGTTGAATTCTTAAAAAGTATTGACTGCTTTTTTTAACTCAATTATACATAGTACTTTCATAGACCAATAAAACCAGTTCTATTTGTAAACAACTTACAAAAATTAAATAAATAAGTTACTTTAATTTTTTATTTATAGGATTTCATGGAAAAGACATCTCAATCGGCAAAGTCCGTAAAAACGACGATAATGAAAACGGTTTAGTACCTATTGTACTCGGTATTATCTTTGGATTATTTATAATCATTCTTTTAATAAGCTTGCTACATTTTTACAGAAAAAGAAAATCCAAAAAGCAAGGTATCTATTTAATGTTAATATGTTAAAGGAGTAATAATAGTCAAAACAGAAAAATACAACAAAAGAAAAAAAACTCATTTAAACTTTAAATTTTTTATTTTTTATATCTAAAGGCAAAAAACTGAAAAATCAAACATCATTGGAGAAAGAAACATCGGAAAAGTAAGTTGGAGAATAATTATTAATTTATTCATAATCTAAAAATTAAACTTAATAATTTTTAAATTTGTTTTAGTAATAAAATTTTATTTATTTTTATTTTTAAATTATTTTTATTCTGTTCAACATAAAAAGCTTCAAAGAAACTAAAATAAATAAATACTAAAAAGCTAAAATATATAAAACTAATTGTTTCTCTTCTTAGTGGAGTAATCTTACCTCATACGGATGGATCTGACAGTCTTTTGAAACACGATCCTGGAACACCAAGACATTTTCACTTGAGAACCTGCCCGGCTCTTAAGCTAGGTCGCATTGACGAAGTGAACATTGTTCACAATGAAAATAATGGGGATGTAGCTCATGCTCTACTTGAACCCAATCGAGACGAAAAACGTTTGTGTACGTGTAGCAAAAGCTATGTTACGACCTTAGACCGCCGCGAACAAAATTTAAAACGCAACAAGAAAGCGAAGCTATTCAAAAGTAATTCTATGCCATCAATTTTTATAAATTCTGATTTAGACGATTCCAATGTTGATCCTCTAGAAGATGAAGAATATGAAGTTAGTGATCTTGAAAAAGATAAATTGACAGAATTAAATCAAGATCGATTCAATTCGTTAAAACGGTCAAACTTTAAGGATTCCTACGACCAGTTTTGTCGAGGTGACCCAGATTTAAACTCCCGAAACAATGTGAGCCATAGAAATGCTCCGGCTGAAAACGCATACCAATTAGACAACTTATCTGACATATCTGATATTCAACCTTATAAACCAATTCGAGGATTTGTTAAAAATGGCGCATCATTCCAAGGTGACGAAAGCAACTCAACGTCTGACTCTGAATCAATAGACAGAGTTCTTTTGTCAGTAAAATCTAAAAAGTTGGGTTTTTCAAGTAAAATTTCTACACCAGACGTTGGTTATGTGAGTGATGTCTCCTCCAGAAGCACGGCATGCGACGGAAAAAAGCATTATCAGCCACCTTCTCAAAGACACAAATACGGGTATAACAAACCTTTTGTTAACCCAAAACAAAACTTTGAAAAACAAACAGACGATAGGCCATTAATGCCTCCATCTTATAGCGAAGCAATACAAGTTATTGAAAGACTATCTGAAAAAAACGATATTACCGACAGCGAAGAAATGTACGGTAACCTTTTACAAATGGAACGTCAGTTAGGATTACATTTAGATGATTCTATAGATAGTGACTTAAATTCAAAAAGTGGTTTTAGCCCCCCTGTTTTTAGAACGGGAAAAAATGGTTATTCTTCTGATACTGGATATATGCAAGAAGAATACCCAGCTTCTAGAGACATTTATTCTGACCGAGAGAAAAATGAACGTTGTAAGCAACTGCTTAACGAGTTTAAAAGCAATCGCAGCACATGCAGTGACACGAGCAATAGAACTAACAACACTATATTACCTCCGTATGAACATTCTCATAGTCCTATAGGAAATATAATTGAAGAGGCATCGCCTCCGGCACTAATACGAAGTAACAGTATAGGTTCAAATAGCGCTTATAAAGAATGGCTCGTATAATTATTTATACTCATTTTAGAAATCCCTAAGTTTAGTTTGCTTTAAAAGAATCTAATTTTCTTTATTGAATGTTTTTTTACAACAGCAAACTGAAACTCGTAATCGTTAGTTTTAGGGTATGTTTTGTGTGACGTAACTTTAGGCGACTAGTATAAAGTAGAGTTAGATAATGTGTGAAACCACTTGATTGGTATGAAAATATTTATTAGCATAGAAAGTTGTTTCGATTTTAAAGCGATTGTAATTTTTTTACTTAAAAAGACTAACAAATTATTGCGTTTTTTTATATTACGCCTTGTTATTATTAATTTCCATTTAATTTCACTTTTTATTTTTTAAGTTTCCTAAAAAAATACGTGTTTAATAACGTGTTGTATAAACGACTTTGTGTTTAATAACGTGTAATTACCATAACGTTCAATATATAATTCATACGAAAAAAACAGCGGCAAATACAGTTATGCTTTTTTTCATACGAATTTAACATAACGGGTAACTCCCGTTACGCTCAAACTGTTTTTTTTTAAAGTTACTAGCTTACATTAGTGACTCTAGACAATATTTCGTCTGACTTTTTTTTCCCGTGAACTTTCGGAAGTCAGACGAGAGAACTTTGGATAAAAAATCATGCAGAAAAATATTTAATAAACATTTTTAATGATAGGGGTACTAAAATGCTTTTGTAAAATGTTAAATGAAAATGTATGAATAAAAAGAAATTTAATCTATTTTCTCTACTTTAAAACATCTTTTTTATTTTATAATAACGCAAATGTAAAAACCTAATTTAAAACAAATTAAAATCTTTTTTAAAGGCTAGAAAATAAACAATAAAAATCCTACGCAAACAAACACAAACCCTACGCAATAATTTATTGTTTTTTATAACATCAAAGTAAGGCCGCAGGAACATATTTGTTCCGGTAGTTTGTAAAATGTATTAGCGCAAAACCAAGTTTCTCGTCACACTTCCAAAAGTTCGCGGGAAAAAAAAGTCAGACCAAATATCGTTTAGGGTGACTCATATTTAAATAAAAGCTAGATGCACAGATGAATTTAATAAGTGTGAAAAAAGTGTTCAATTAAATAGAAACTCTTTTTATTTCAGTTTTTTCTTCATAACTTTTTTTTCTCTTTATTACAATCTTTATACAAATATAAGTAAAATAAAGTTATCTTACATTAATTTAAATTAATTCCAAATAAAGATATCGTTAGAAAATAAAGATAGCATAATAAAGATACGGAAAACTCGTAGAAGACCGTGATGTCATTGAGAAACCGCTCAAGCTGACTGAATTAATTTTGCTGATTTAATATAGAGCTTTAATGTTTTCTTGTTGTTTTTTTTGTCTCATTTAAACCAGTTTTATCAGTAATCCTTCGCTAAACTGGTAGAACTGATAAATTTTCTTGGATTAGAAGGGTTCACGAAGTTTACGTTGTTTGTAGCAATCAATCAAATAACTTTCACAAGCAGTTTTTTCTTTTTCATTAAGAGCTTGGTTATTTATATCTTGGCTATTTAAAATATCATAATCCAATTTTTGAAAATAACACATTTTAATATTTTATATAATATTCAATATTAATAATTCTTTTAAAACATTTAGTTCATTTTAGGAAAACCATTATGCGATAAATAGCTAAGATTAGAGTTATTCATACTCCAGATTTAATAGAATGCACGACTTATGGGAATTTAGCCGCTGATGAATATTCATAGACTACCAGCACATACACACACATACCAGCACATACACACAACATCTTAACAGCACATACACACAACATCTTAACAGCACGTATACATACAAGCACATATACATACAGCACATATACATACAAGCATACATAAATAAATACATACACAGCTACACACGCATATATACATTTACATAAACACACACATACATATACATGCACATATACATACACACGCAAACATACATATACACATACATACACACATACATATATACACACATGTACATACGCATACACAAAATGCATACACGTACACATATACATTCACAACACACATACTTGCATATGTATCCACACGCATATTTTTGCATATATATTCATACAACTTTCTTTTTTTTTCCTACAAAGCCGTGTTGTAAAAAAAGATAATTAATTTCTTTAACAAGTCTTGCCAGTCTACAATTAATAGTATTCAAGATCTTACTTTAAAAAATCAAAAAAAAAACTGTAATAAAACTGTAAACTGTATGACATGGGATATGTGCTGACAAAGTATAGAAAATAGTAATTAAAAAAACAAAAACTTGGCTGTAAAAACGATTTTTCCTTATACATTATTAACGCATATGCCTGTGTTATAATTTTTCTTGATTTTATTTTTTTAAATCTTGAACACTATTTAATGTAGAATGGCAAGACTTGTTTTTTCTTCATAAACACTTATAGAACTTTAGAAAAGTTCAATATCCGGCGTATCCGGCAAAAATATCCGGTACACCTCTAGAGCTAATTAAGCATTAGGGCAAGTATCGCAAAAACAATGCGTCACATGACAAAAGATTTAATGACAAAACATCTAATTGAAAATTAGGACGGTAACGTACACAAAACCAAAGTTGTTGGACTGCAGTTAGTATTTTACCCATTCGATTATAATTAGTCGGTTTTTTCTTATTCATATCGTTTAGAAATAAATACATAAAATATTTAAATAAAAATAATTTATTTTTAAACGGTAATATAATTATTACGGATGTTATAAATATTTCTTAATATTACTTGAATATGTTTTAAAATAGATGATCACAAAGAGTCTAAAAGCATTAGCAGTGTTTAACTATGACGCAAGTTCCGTTTCGCTCTCGTCTTTTTTATAATGACGATATTCGGGTTTTAGCTCATAAGTGTTTTTATGTGGATTTTTCAAGTTATAGTTGCAAACATCTCTTAGAATGGCTTTCAAATGCACCTAGAAAACGCAAAAATAAAACAATTCTAAATTTAAATATTAAAAACTATTATTTAAATATTAAAAAACTAAAGAAATTTTTCAAACCTTTAAAATAGAAAATAACTATTTAAGTACATGGACAGACAAAAGACAAAACAAATTTTTTTTGTTTAAATCCGTCTGTCAAATTTTTGTTTTTTGTTTTAAATCCGTCTGTCAAACTTTTTTATTTTAAATCCGTCTTTTTAAATGGTTTAAGTCCTTTCAAGATTCTTTTTTATAAACCTTATATATATTTTTATACTATAAGCGCAACCAAATAAAAAGTAGATAAACTAATAGTAAAAAATAACTATATTTGATTTACTTTTTGTCTGGTAGCTAATAACCGTAATAAAGACAACGATAAGTTGTAGCATTTCATTCTTTGTAAAGTTGACTAATTTAAGAACGATTTCTTTTCATTCTTAACTGACTTGATAAGATTTTTTTTTTTTTGCTCTTTGGTTTGAATCTATTCTGCATCAATTCATTGTATTTACACGTTTTATGTTTAATTTTAATGGAAATTTACGATTAAATATATTTTTAAGTCTTGTATTTATTTATATTCCTTGTATAAGATTATCGGCTATTGAATATATTCCAATTCAATATAACTCAATAACAAGCTTAATTTTGTTATAAAATCAAAAAAGAAAGAGAATTTAAGTTTTAATCTTCTGAGACGACAGCTTTCCAATAATATGAGGTAATGATTTCCGCTAATAAGACGTAAGCTGCAATCTTGAATATTTTTTAAAGAACTTTTTGTGTAAAAAGATTTTACAAAGATACCAATTTTTTTTTTAACTTTTATGAAACTAAATACAAGAATGTAAAATAATAAAAAAAAATTTCTTATTTTCTTCAACTAACAGACTAATGATCTACTTTACTTTATAAACTTTTCAAAAAAAAAAAACAACAAACTGTTTTTTTACAAAATTTCTTTAATTTTGATTCATTGAAAGAAACGCAAAGAGTATAACAACACTTTTAGTTTCAAAACTTATTTCTAAAAAACTATCGGACATTAGTGATGATGCCCATAAACTTCTGCACAGTCGTTATTATAATTTTCTTACTTGTCATTGACCATACCTCCATCAAACCTTGGTCATACCTCCATCAAATCTTGATCATACTTCCATCAAATCTTGTATTAAATTAGTCTTCATCAAATCTTATTCTGAAATAGTCTTGCCTGTATTATGCAAACACCCTTTACCTATACTACAAAATTTTTAAATTCTAAAGATTGGGATATAAATTTCTATCAAAGCTGATAAGTCACAAAAACTTTCTTTCTTCAGCAACTTCAAAATGTTTGGTTAAAATTCCAGATAATATCACAAAATGTTATCTATGTTATTGATAAGGGTTGTAAACAATGTGTTCATGATTTGTGTTTTTTTAAAAAAAGAAAGAAAAGGAATTAGTCAAAAAAATACTTACTACTGGTTGTTGAGTAATTCCAACTAGATCTTTCAGAGTATAAAACTGATGCTTTTCAAAGGCTGAAAACAATACTTCCAACACTTCGTCTCGCTCAGCTCGAACTCGCTTTCCTTCTTCTTTTCTTTTTTTTATTGGTTCCATCTAAAATACAACAGCATATTTTGAATAAACAAACTACAAAAAAACAAGCAAATTGAAGCATAAAGTTTTAAAAAATGTTTACATTTATTTGGTGATCATTAACTGGTTTAAAAGTTGTCACCAACCCGGTAATTTGTTTAACTTGGCGAACGGGTCTACATGCTTTTTCAATTGCTTTTCTATATTACAAACTATGAGGTAAAATATTTTAAACAAGTAAAAAAAAATTTCTAAAACCTAACAAAGAAATAATGAACCTTCTATAACCTAACATAGAAATGATGAACCTTCCTCACCTTTTCATCTGCATATAGTTTGGATCTTCGATAGGACGACAATCAGCTCGTTTTATGATCTTCCCTTCAAATGCAATTTTTTCACGAGCTGAAAAATGTTTAATAATTATTTGTATATAATATAATACATGTTTGATATATTGTTATTATAAGAAGCAGTTTTATAATCAAACAAGATTTTTTCAGACATTCTATTTATAATCTTTCCTAAATAGTTGATAGCTTTATTACCAAATCTTGTGAAAACTACAATCTTAGTTATAAAACCATAATTTTAAAGCTAAAATATCTTAAATATCATAATATGCTTAAATCCAAATAAAAGAATTTGAATATTTTGTAAATCGCCTTAACTACACTGAGTTTCATATCTGTTTGTTCTTTGGTTTGACAAATTTTTCAATTTACATCAGTTAAAAACATATTTCAAGTTTATATGTATGTATGTATGTATGTATGTATGTATGTATGTATGTATGTATGTATGTATGTATGTATGTATGTATATATATATACATATATATATAAATATATATATATATATATATATATATATATATATATATATATATATATATATATATATATATATATATATATATATATATATATATATATATATATATATATATATATATATATATATATATATATAACAAAACTGGACATTTAAAAGTGTTGTTCAACATAGTGAATCTCTACAGTTATAGCTCAGCAGTTAGAGCGCCTGTCTTTACTTGTTTTAGTATCAAGATCGACTTAACTTCTTAATTCATAATTAAGTTTGCCTAAATTATTAGCTTCCTTGACTATGCTCTCTAACAAGACATAACAAGGAGGCCATTTATAAACTTTTTAAAAATTATATTAACTATCTGCTTTTTAAAAACAATATTTAACACAAAACTAATTCTATTGTAAATTTGCGTGAGGATTTTTAAACTTTAGTGACTTTTAATGACAGCTGAACTTTTCTCTTCCTCCCATCCCATATAGACAAAAAAAAATTTAAAGCACTTGCATTTAAAAAAAATTGTAGAATAAACCAGAGGCCACCATCCAACTTTTGCTGCTGTATTTTTCTTTACTTCTATGATTTTAAACTTATATTTCATCATAAAGATAAGCAAAAAAATGTGCATTTTTAAGAACAAACTACAAAAACTAAACGAAGTGAAAAAAATTAGTATATTTATGTTATATTTGATGCAGATAATCTGCAGGCTGCTTGAACTAGACTGAGCAATGAAAGACTGAAGAGAAATATGAAACATTTCTATTGAAAAACCTTTTTTATATAAATGAGGATAAGTAATAAAAACAAACAGATGTTCAGAATAAACACATATTTATTTTGAGAAGAAAAGGCTAATACAAAAATCACAGTAAACAGTAAATTTTATTGTTAAAGTATACCTAAAACAGAACAGAACACTTAAGTAACCATAAATCTTCATTAAATACAAAAGTTTAACTTACTTTAAAACAAATATACATATGCATAGATATCAATATTTAAAAAGAATAAATGTATATAAAAACATGGTATAAAAAGATTGCTTTTGTGTAATCATAATTTATGTGTAATCATAATATATTTAGTGAAAAAACTTAGCACATTTAGCACTCATTCAAAAATGACTACAATTTTTCCAAACCAAAGGACTAACTGCGCTTTTTGACATAACAAGAATCAACATGTTATCTGCATTTTTATGTAATTAAATAGTTTTTGTGTAATTCATAGATCATCCTAGTCATATTTTAAAAATCCGGAAAATTGTTTGAATAAAATATCCGGAAAAAATCCGGAATTTGTTTTTCCTTATTTGCTTTTTAATTTCACTTTTAGCTAAATTGGTTTAGTTTTTTTTTGACACATTTTCATAATTTTTCTATGACTGATGAGTGAAATAGCTTAAAAAACAAAAATATTACAAAAATATATATCTCGACTTGCATGTATTGAAAATGTTTTGAATATCCGGAAAAACAAATAGTTAAAAAAAATATCCGGAATTCCGGAAATATCCGGAAGAGATAATCCCTGGTAATTAAATTTTTGTGTAATTATCAGAAGCTACAATCTTATATTTCTGAATCAATTTCTGCTATAACTTAACAATTTCATTAATACTTTACTGTCTATGTTAAATTGTTTTTCCTCAAATTGACTAACTTCCTTCTTATAAATTATTTGTAAAAATACTTTTTTAGCTATCATGAAGTTTTAAAATGTATTAATTCATGCTAAAAAATTGTTTACTATTCAAAATTGCTTTATTAATTTTAACATTTTGAATCATTCCAAAAACTTTATTCATTCTGTAATTTTTTTGAAATTTGTGTTTTGAGATCCTTTTAAATACATCAAATGAATTCTAGCTGTACCCTTATTTACTTTAGCTGTTTTTAAACAATCTAACTATGGTTTTGATCTTTTTCTTTAAGGGACTTTTCTTTATCACCAGTGTTAAGCTAAATATTTCAATAAACAATTTAGCAGGTAATACTTCCACTCACTTTTTTCAAAATAAGAAAACACAATACAAATAGCAAAATGACTTACAAAGCTTTATTAAAAATTATTTTTAAAATTTTATTTAGACTTGCAGTGTTTTAAATAGTGCAAGTGTCAAAAAAACTTTTTGTGTGCACATACATATTACAAGCAAAGTTTTTGTTGATATGAGATCCTTGTATAAAAAGGATTTGAAAAGTGACAGGTGTCACTTAATATTTATGGTTTGTGTCATGTGGTATGAAGTAATAGGCCCCCATAGCAAATAAAATTTTAATCGTTATTTTAAAAATATTTTATACCATTAGAAGGGCATTAAATAAGCTTTCAAAATCATATAAAAAACATATGATGAAAATTTTTACCTCATAAGATATAGGAAGTTATGTAAGTTACTAAACTGGGGGTCATTTACAAAAATTAGCATTAAATAAAAGATATATTAAGTAAAACTAAAATAATTAAGCTAGTATATATATTAATATTGGTATTGTTTAAACATATAAAGAATATCATATGTAAACAAAAATAGTATTTACAATATACAATGTTTAATGAAGAGAAAAAAGGACCCCCGAAAAATATTTAACTGACCATATTAAGTCAATTAACCTTGTAATATAAATGAAATTAAAGACATTTATTGAATGAAAAGCTTCAAATATTCAAAGATTTCATTCTTAAACTCAAAAACCTTCTAAATTTTGGAAATATATGTTAAAATTATCGTGCTTACAAGCTGGTATTTAATAATACGAATAAATTAAATTGCGTCATATATCTCTACATTCATAGTCATAGTTTTCCTTTTGGTCGTCTACATTATTATTTTTACATCCTTTACACTTGCACCTATCAGTACAGACAACATTTGCACCTATTATTATTACAGTCTCCTTTAGAACGACTGACACTCAACTCGATAAGTGCTATTGATGTTGGCAGGTTATCAGTTATTATGGGGTCAAAAGATCCATTGTTTAGTTCCCAACCATACTCCACAGGCGATGGTAGATACTGTACGGGCATGTTAGAGCATTTAAGCACTAAACATACTAAGTGACTACAAAATATATGGTACTTAAGGACATTCATTGTTGGTGGAAGTTGTGCAGTGTCATACTGAAATTAAAAGAAAAAGAACCAACAAAGTTGTGAAAAAGTATTAACATCTTCTGTCTGTTTTTTATCACTGTAAACTCTAACAACAAAACATTCAATGTTTATTGTAAACAAATCAGGTAAAGCTTTTGATTGACCTAGATTTGATAGAGCAGCTAGGGTTCCATTGTCAGCTTTTATAAATTCTTTTCATTATGATTTTTTAGTGATTCCAGAAAAGCCTCCAATTTGATCACAGCCAGTAAAAATGTGAAAACCTAAAGAAATGAAAAATTTCACTAAGACCCTTACTTTCATTAGAAATGAGAAACAACAAAATATAAACAAAAAAACCTAAAATAGTTTGTACTAGTTTAGAACCAATTGCTTCATAACATTTTTGAATCAAGATGTCTCGTTCCTTATCCCCTCTACCAGTTCAGAAAATTGTGACACGTGGCAGGACTTGATAAAAATGAACTAAAAGTAGAAAAACGTCAGTATCTTGTAAATGCACAATTTTTAATGGGTTTTCTTTTGCAACGTACAGTGGTAAAAGGTGTGCATAAATATATTGATCGTAAGCAAAAAAGTAGGGAGTCATTACACCAAGCGACGCAAGGTGAAGTTTCCAATGTCCTTGTCGAGATGCTCAAACAAATTGAAGCAATATTTTATACATTAACATAAAATTACGCAAATATAAGCCTTGTTGAACTAATATGTCATCAACATTCTTGCATTTATACAATAGTATTTAATTGGAAATACAGTGGCATTTGCTTAAAGCTTCCTTGTGCAGACTCCTTATCAAATATTGGTGGGAGTTCTTGGGCATGCTTTTTTATTACATTACGAATCTCTGGGTAAAGAAGCAAGAAACATCCAAGTATAATTTGTTCAAAGATAGGTATAAAATCACGAATGCTTCCATACCACGCTTCACATGTTTTCCATCAAGAATCTGTCCAAGGATGCTTCTATCAATATCTGATCAAGTCCACTTCCAATAATGTACTTTCTATAAACTTTTAAAAATGCAATCACAATATGTAGTTCCCCAAGTCAAAAAATGAAATTTTCTTTGATATTGTTATTTTGTCTTAGCTGCATGGATTTTGAATAGAGTTGAAGATCAAGGGTAATAACTGTTTTTTTTACTTCCTGTGACGGCAACGTTAATTCCCCGAACAAGCTTTAATGCAGTGAAAAGGTTCATCTAGTTCCTCACGTGGTATTTCTCTTAACTTTTGATAAAAATCTATTGCCTCTGGGTCATGACAGAAGTACCTTGCCTTAAACATACCATTAGTTTTTCCAAAATGTCATGCAAACTGGTTTTTACAATCTAAAAAAAAATTTAGTAATTGCTAGAAGACGCTTTTAAAAATTACTTAAAGAACATATCCAAAATGCATCGAAATGGTATTTTTAAAGGATAAGAGATTTAAAAATACGTAGATTTATATTTTTACGTAGATATATTAAATAATATCTAAATCAAATAAATAGAAATATTTTTTTTACTATCATCCTCCAGGCAAACAATGTAATTGTGAAGCAATAGTAAAGTCAAAAATAAGTTTTTTTCGTTTCGTTCTTTGTCCTCCATTTGTTAATAATATTTAATATGTGAAACAGCAATAACACAGTATAGAAACGTTTTTAAAAGCCAAAAACGAAAACAAATCATTCTAAGCGTTGCATTCTTATAAGTAGAATTGTGTAAGAATAAAATAACATTATCAAAACATTCGAAATAATACAATCATCAAGCATGAAATATTCTATTTCATCAAAACAGGTATAATATTGTAAAAATCCGGAGGTTAAAAAAAATAATTTTTGCCTAAAATTTGTTTTAAATAATATAAATTTTATAATAACTAATATTTCTTAAATTATAATAAAAAAAAATAATTTCAAAAATAATTTCGAGTGACACCTGTCATTTTTCAAATCCTTATCATACAAGGATCATATTAATAAAAAGTTTGCTTGTAACACGTATGTGCACACAAAGGTACATATTGGCCTGCACTAACACTTTTAAAGTGGATTAAAACAAATGCCAAACAAATAACATATCAAAAACTCTTAAACAACAATTTAAATCATAAAAATTTATTTATTTTCTAGTAACGTCACAATTTCAAATAAAAATTAGGAAACTAATTGCTAATTAAACTAAATAAAATGGTTTTAACTGCTTATTAATTTCTATAGTATATTTTATTTATGCTTTCTATAGTATATTTTATTTATGCTTTCTATTGCATATTTTATTTATGCTTTCTATAGTATATTTTATTTATGATTTCTATAGTATATTTTATTTATGCTTTCTATAGTATATTTTATTTATGATTTAGAGATAAGTATATATATTTGTGTGTAATCTTGATAGTTTGAAATTATCTTGTAATAAATATATTAGAGGGCTTGTGAAGTAGTCTTTATAAATATAGAATAAATAAACAAATGGATCTTATGCAGAAATGTTTTATCAGAGCTTGGACCTTAAAACTCTTTGCTTGTGCATGCTAACTAGAAACCCTGACATAGTAAGTAACGTAAGCGTTGCAGTCAATGACATAATCAGTAACATAATTATTGCAGTCAAAGTTTAATTAACAATTTATCTTTTTGATTGTTTAATCTCATGACCAAAACATTATTTCATCTTTATTAAATAGCAAACTTGGAAAAGTAATTGTTTTATTTTTATTGTTACCTAGTTTTTAAAAGTTAAACACTATGCCAAATAACATTTATAAATTAAATATAGTTTAAATATATGGTAAAATTAAATATATGTTATAATATAATATAATACAAGGTTCCTAGCAAAGATCTCTAACAAACTTTAAAAGATCTATATATATCAGATTTATGACATTTTATTTACATCAATTTATTTTAAACTTGCATTAACATAGTTACTATCAATAACATTTGTTACTAAGTGTTATGTTACAAAAATCATTTGTTATAAAATATAAAATTCATTTTTGTTGATTGGTATTTACATTAGTTAAAATACAACTTCAGTTGATATAAATAATAATAGATTTGAGCAGATTTTGAAATTTCTTATACTCTAGAAAAAATATTTTTTAGTTAAAAACTTTAAAATGTACAGCATTACTGTTAAATGGTACACAAGAGAATTCATACTTAACTGTCACGAAGATATTTATGTTACTTTATTTATTTTAAGATATTTATAATACTTTATATCTTACTTTAATTATAATACTTTACAGTCAGTAAAGATAATATTTACTAAAAATAAAGTATTTAAAATTAAAGTAAAATATAATAAATAATAAATACCTTTAGTAAAAATATTATAAACAATATTTTATAAATATCTTTATGAAATATATGTGTAAATGTCATAAATATCATAAAAGTGTGATATATATAATAAATATCTTTCGTTAAAACATCATAGTGATATAAAATCTTAAACTTTAATATTTTATAATATCACCAAGATTTTATATCTAACATAATAAAACCTTAGTGATATTAAAAAATATTTACTGTCAATAAAGTAGTTATTAATTAATACCAGAACTATCCCTAAAAACATTAAAAAAAGACAATCGCAATATTCATTTACAATTAAATTCTAAGCAACTTTCTAAAATTAAATACTGGTACAGTTAATCTTTTTTTTATTTGAATTAAAAGTATATATTATAATTAAAAGTATATATATATAGCTTAATTAACAAAATTAAGAGCTTAATTAACAAAAAAGCTTAATTAACAAAAGCTTTAAAAATTACCTTGTTCATTAGCATCCTCGTCATCTGAAAAAGATTACAAAATTGATAAATAAATCTTCCAAAATATGAAAAAATTAAAATAAAAAACTCATCAGTTACCACATGGAGTTTCTGAAAAAACACCAAATGTTTGCCATATATCTGACATTTCAAACTTATGTTTCGATGGTATTTCTATTCCTTGCGCTTGTGATTTGACAAGATGGTCAGAAAGCTCAAAAAGCATATGTTTTGGTGCAGTACTAAAAATAAAATTAGATTTTTCTTCTTTAAAAACGACAAAAACTTCTACACAAATCCCACAAATAATTTAAATATATTAAAGCCAAAAATGAACGCAGAAAAGGAGTTTTTGTGAAGGGTATTTTTACAAAAATCAAGCACTTTTTTCATATTTTAGACAAAGATTGATACGGTAAAGTATGTTGTTTTTTTCCTGTTTTTATCAAACTTTTGAAGGGGAGTTTTTTGTGGTAAATTTTATGGAAAATCTGAATCTGAAAAAAATATATAATAAAATGACTTATTGGGGGGAACGCTTAGTTTTCAACGAGAAAATGACTAAAATGTGAATAATTAAAGAGAAAAAATTATAAAATAAAAAAAATTTATAATTTTTATTATAACAGTTTATAAATTTTATTTAAAATTTGTGAGTTCAACTAAGTTATATTTAGCATTGTTTGTGCTCAAAAAACGCCTACTGATTTCTTGCGCTCTTATATCCTACTTGCTTCTCATAAGAATATGTTTTTGCACAAAAAATTCAATTGGAAGAAAATGTCGAGATCCCTCTAATGCAAACATGCAAACAAAAACTTTGAAAAAAGAACTTTAGGTGAACTACTTTATTGTTTTGTGAGACAAATTACTAAATGATCTTTTGGCTGATCAGGCTTACAAATAAAGAATTGTAATAGCAATAAGATCTGGAATGTTACCTGAAAATTTAATAAACCTTGAAATAGGTCCTATTTTTCATTCCAGATGGCTCAATACAGCTGACCATTTTTGTAGATTGTGGGTTTCAATTCATTTTCTAACAGAAAAAAACCTTAGAAATCTACGTTTAATTATTGAATTTAGTGTGTATTTTCCTTGCTGGTTTCAAATAAAGGTAAAACATTCCAGGTTAGATGGACCTCAGCACATATTATATTTCTATTAAAACAACTAAAATATCAAAAAAAAAAGAAGTTGTTGCAACGGAATGAAAACTGCGAAGAGACCTTCATGGTTTGCATTTAGTGATTCCAAGAACTAAAACAAAGTGAAGCAGGCAAGCTTTGGCTAAGATAATTGTTTTTTTAAATTTAATAAAGATGAAATAATGTTTTGGTCATGAGATTAAACAATCAAAAAGATAAATTGTTAATTAAACTTTGACTGCAATAATTATGTTACTGATTATGTCATTGACTGCAACGCTTACGTTACTTACTATGTCAGGGTTTCTAGTTAGCATGCACAAGCAAAGAGTTTTAAGGTCCAAGCTCTGATAAAACATTTCTGCATAAGATCCAATAAAAGAATGATATACATTTATCATTTAGTTGTAATGAAAAAAAATTGACCTAAACATTTTTCAAAATTTTCTTCAATATGAACACAACTTGTCTTGGCACTTGGGGATCCCTTTAATTTGGAAAAATAAACCTTGTCAAACAACGCCACTGTGCAGAGAAACAAGTTGAAAAACAAGACCACCGTGCAGAGAAACAAGTAGAGTGCAGTACTAGCAGGGACATGATGAGGATAAAATTTCGAACTCCTCATTTACATTAATCGCATCATTAATCAGAATTTGGTTTATATTTATTTTATAAAACATGTTAACATAACACATTGCAATATAAACCAAATTTTGAAAATGAATCAAAATTTTGAATTGCAAAATTGTGTGCTACTATTTTTATTTTAAAACTAAAAATATAATTTATGAGCAAATAAGTAGCAAACAAATTAGGTTCTTTACAATGTCAAAGTTGGTGAAAACAGTAAGCTGAACCAAAAAACAAAAAACGTATTAAAGTGTTACTAGTCTTAAAGCAGCAATGACTTGCAATAATGGTTATTGATTTTAAGTTCAATGTATTAATTAACAAAATGACAAAATAACATTTTTTTTTAATGTTATTTTTTATTAATTTAGTGACTTAAAAACTTTAGTGCACATTTTTTGTTTAACATTTAAATTTTTTTTTTATTTTATATTAACATAAATTGAACAATTTTTTCTGCTTATAAAGATTAAATGTTGGAAAAAATAGGTGAAAACTTGTTTGATATTTTGATGAATAAAAATAATATAATACTTACTGTTTTGGAATTTTTAAACTTCCTACAATTCCACTTGCATCAGCCTTACCCCATATATCTGCTATGTATTTGGGAACCTGAAAAATAAAACAAGGCCCCATATATCTGCTATGTATTTAGGAACCTGAAAATAAAACAAGACCCCATATATCTGCTGTGTATTTGGGAACCTGAAAATAAAACAACACCCCATATATCTGCTATGTATTTGAGAACCTGAAAAATAAAACAAGAATATTTCTGATATATTTCACTCTATTTAATTGATTTAATGATGTTAATTAATACATTTTGCTTACATTAAATTTACACATTGCATAATTAGATTTGATTGCATTGAAAATTCAATTAATATAGCAAAATAGACCTTTTTTTTATTTTGTTATATTAGATGTTTTTTATACATAAATATTGTCCAAACCTAAACTTGTCATTTAATAAAAGTCTTTAAAAGTATCATTTGATACATGTTATTAAACTTATTTGATAAATGTATGTTTAATTTAGCATGAGGTTTTTATTTTTCATGAGCTTAAAACATTCCATTTTTTTGCTCAGACAGAAAGGAAGCTGCAGCCATAAAATCAGTTCTACAAATTGTTTAAACTTAATACAGTCAAAATAGAACAAACAAGCATTCTTTATAAGTTCCTTAAACAATTTTCATGCATTTCTCCACTTACCATATCAAAAAAAACACTTAAACAGCTTTTTTATAACATTTATAACTTTTTTTATTTACATTTAAAGTTCATTTTATTTAACAGAACTACGACTAGAGTACAAAAAATCTTTTTAGTAGTGTAAGTGCCATGTCATATTATGATATACAATAAAAAATAAAAAATTTTAACTTTTAAATTTTGAAAAGTTAAAATGCATCTGTAGAGTAGTCCAAGATTATCTGTATTTTTTTTTACTCCAACATCATCTGGAAATTCAAATGTTGTTGGACAGATGTTATTAAACATCATTATATTTACAGATGTTGTTGGACAGATGTTATTAGTCGTAACAAAAACTGACGTTGTTACCCTCGAAACCTAACCTAGGGTTACCCTGACTCATTAACACAACCATTTACCCAATACTAAAATTAATGTATTTGTGTATGGACAAAGACTGTTTTAACTGAGAATTTTTATTTTAAAATAATCAAAAAGGTGTCTGTTACATACTGATTTTGATTTACTTTGTTAAAAGTGTTTTTTCTTAAATAGATCAAAAAGATAACAAAGTAGTTATTTTGATTTACTTTGTTAATTTAATTAACCTGTGAATTAAAAAAAAAATTATTTTAAAAATTATTGGCAATAATCTTTATGTAGTAACAACTTTGTGACTACTTTTAAATTGTAACACAGTGCTTGGTGATGTAACAAAAAAAAATTTTTATCAGAATAATTTTTGACAAAAGTAATTTTTCTTGCTTTTGGCCATTATATTATTTGTAAATTTATGTAGATTGTTAAATTTAATTGAAAAATATATTCCAAATAAAATAAAATAAAAATATCCAGGTAAAATAATGAAATTCGTCATTACAGATAAAGAACAGAAAACATTACATTAAAACTATGAGAATATGTAGGTAATTATGTAGGAGAATGTGTAGGTAAATATATAGGAGAATATGTAGGTTATTATGTAGGAGAATATGTAGGTAATTACAATATAAAGTGAGAAAAGGTAAATATAATATAAAGTGAGTCCAAGCAGTTAAAATAGTATTATAATATGTTAAATCTTTAATGTATTATTGAACCTTCTACTATTGACTTTTGGTAAATCAGTTATAAAAAATAATAACTAATGGATAATATTAAATTTATAAATATATATAAAAATGATTTAAACTAAAAATTAAATTAAAAAAACTAAAAATACATAATTATTACTATTTGTTATTAAACAATTACAATAATTAAGACGTTTATTATTATTAATTATTTTTTATTCTATTTTTTATTTTTAATTTATTATTATTAATATTATTAATTATATATTAAGACGTATTAAACATACGAAAAATAAAACATAAAATTTTACGAAGGTTAAAGCTCAAAAATATTGCTTTTAAATCTGAGTCTCTGCCTTCAGAAAATCGTGAAATTAGACTGTTGTGCTAATTTATAATTAAGAGTGTATATTTATAATCATATATTTTTATTTCTGTTTTTTTTTCTATCTGGTTGGACAAAGAATCAATTTTAAATGTTTGCTGTTAATTTTAAAGTTGTTTTATGAAATTCTTAATAAAAATAGGTTTTTATTTGTTTTTTTATTATAGTAAAAATACAATTTTATTTTATTGTTGATATTTTTTAAATTAAGATAAAAACTTAATTTTTAAGAAAATGAATTGCGAAAATAAAAATTTTCATAAAAATAAATTTCTTTTTTCAGACTTTAAAAAATTTAATGAGTTTAAAATTGCTTCTGATTTGATCAATCATAAACTCATAACAATTAATCATAAAAATAATATCATATATATCGTATATTAAAGTGCTGCAAGAAAACTGTTTCGAAATACTTTTCTATGCTTAAAGATATTTTTAAAACTATGAACCAGAGCAGTTATATAATTTTTGCACATATCCTGAAATATTCCATGAGAAAGTGAAAAAAATTAACTCACAATCTCTTTTTCTTTATTCTTTGTAAAAATTGTTATCTACATCACATAGATTATCCAGCCAAATTTTAGTTGAATAATTTTTTCTGGAAAAATTAAGGCAAACAAATAAGACAAAATAAGGCAAACAAAAAAAAAAAAAGAAAGAAAAACAAAATGACTTGAGCTATACCACTTTGAAGATAACCAGATAAAAAGTTCAGAACTTGAAAATATGAGACATTGCTAGACAAAATGGATAAGTAAAAGAACTCTGCAAATGAACAATTGCCTTTTTAAAAAGGTAAAAAAACATATACACAGCAGCTACAATTAATGATATGTGATGTCATTTTTAACCTAATAATACCAGGCGAACAAATTTAAGAATTTCAGAGTTCTATAAAAATTTAATAGTTCCATGGGTAAAAATTTCTCAAAAAACACAAAAAAACACAAATCTGCACCCTATATCACCAAAATTTTTGAAACTTGGCACAAATGTTTATAGACATGTTAGGAAAGATTGTAATTTTTTTTCAAAAAATTCATTACCGTTTACAATTTACAGCAATTTGAAGTTTCCTTGATTTTGACTAAAACCTGAGAGGGGAAAAGTGCCAAAAATCATTGCGTTTACTTTCACCTTAATATGGTGCTTGTAGCGATGTCACAATTCTGAAACTTTGTACCAAAAGAGTTTAAAACCTGTTAAATCCAAAAAATATAGTTTTTTATATGTCAAAACAAGGGAATGTAGCTTTATTTTAAGATCCATAAAATACACTTTATAACGCCAAGAAAAAAGGGCATTGACAATTATAGCTATAAAAAAAATCTGACTGATATAAAAAAAATTTATTTTTGATTTTCTTAAAATAAGATCAACACCTACTTTTTCGAACCAATTTTGTTTTGGCCTTATATTTACTTGAGGAATTATTGATGTTTGATATAGACACAAAATTTTTTAAATTAGACACTTAATATAAACCCACCTTTTACCAATCAATCAAATTAGAAACTAAAAATTTAGTGACTGTATTATCTTTTTCATTTTCATATGATATTTACAACAAAATTTAAACGTATATAAATTTTAAAAAAAAAAAACTAAACTTAAGTGATTTTATATATGCTTTACATTCACATTATTTACAAGTTGGTTCACAAAACATAATATTTAAAAAAAAGAATGGATAAGACATAATAGACTCATAAATATAAAAATCTCTACTTCCTTAGGAAAATAATTTTTTTTAAGTCCTCTTTGGCTAAATAGTAGCAAAGTCCTGTTTTTGTTGTCGGTACCTCAACTTTGCAAATAATGTGGACATCAGGAATCCAGCATTGGCTTTCCTTTGGTGGCCATTTAAACGACTGTGCAGGACCATTAGGACACATAAATTTTACAAGCACATCTTTTTCTTCTAAATAAATATCTTCAATGACTCCTATCCACCACTTTTGCTCATAGGAAACACAGGCATAATCACCTGGTACTAGGTTTACAGTTGTTATCTGGATATTTCCAAAGTCATGAATTAAAGCAAATTCTTCATCAACACTGCATAGCTAGCTACCTACCTAAACAAAATAGTAACATGCAATTATTCTGTTTTACTTATCAAACATGTTTTATTAAATGCATAGATAGCAAATGCAGAGGAAATAAAATAAAATAAAAATATTTTTGATAATGATTCTGCAAAAATCTAATATTTATTTGAGTTAATCAATAAAAGTTATGCGTGTATTTTAAAATATGGTAAAAGGTATAATTAAAAAATAATATTAAAAAAGTAAAAGGTAAAAGGTATAAATAAAAAATAATTTACCTTTTGATGGCCAAGTAATAAACTGATGGTAACTACATGTTCAAGGTATTGTATTAGCAGTATCCAATCGTTCTTTAAGAGCCGTTCTCACCAAAGTTAAATCTTCTGATGAAATATATATGAAGTTTATGCCTTCAATGTTTTCATTACAATATTTATACATTGTTTGTGGAGATAAAATATGATTACCCATATCTCTTTGCAAACTTGCTAGTGTTGCCAGGCATTTGACTGTACCACCTATCCCATCACAAGGTTGCTTATCGTGACTAGTTGCAAAAAAGTTCCATTTAGCAGTAAAACCAAAATCTTCACAATGGAAACAAAAATTTAACATATTTTTGCAATTCTTATATTGACTTGCACACCTATCTGAAAAGTATTCAATATTTTTTATTTGAGGCAAATTCGTTTTTATATCATTCCAAACAACCTCAATAATTTTATAAACCATGTTTACATCATGGATCATATCATCCGAAATAATACAATAGGATTTGTGCTTGAGAATGCCTTCTTTTTTGAAATAAATAATCATTGGATGAAGTGTACATTGTATATTTGTTCAATGAAAGCTTTGCACTTCATCCTGAACTACAAATTTATAGTTTTCTGAAAAATCACCCAGAAATAATACTGTTACCTCATTCATATCTTCCTTTCTTGATCTCAGGTATAATGCTTGACTCTTTGCTAAATACGAATGTGGTGCAAGTTTTTCCAGTTTTCTACATACTAGTTCAATGTATTCAAACACTGGCTTTTTATTATGTGTCAGGTTTGACCTATCTGTTGTTGTCCATTGATCAAATTCAATCTCATCATCATCTTCAAATTCCCCAAGCATATCATAAAGTTTTTCAACCAATGCATTCATAGTTGCTGGGCATTTTTCACATTTCCTCATCATACAGTCTTTATTAGTTATATCACAGACAATATAAGGTAACAATTCTTTGTATGTCACACCAAGAGGATGTAAAAGCAGTTTCAAATTCTGATGAATAGCACAGACGCATACAGAATGTGTTCCTGAGACACCAACAGTAATACACCATTTAGGTCACAAGGTGCAAAACCTTGAAATCCTATTTTTATTTCTGGGTTCTTGGTTTTAAAGGCAACAAACAATTCCTTTAAATTACATAAGAGCAAACATTTTTGCATGTGGACATTTTTTTTTTATGCTTACATAGTTCTTTTTACCAGGCATTACACGGCTATGTACTACTTTTTTGATGTTGATGTAGACTCTGCAATTTTGTTAGTTAACAATACCATCATGTTATCAAACAAGTTTGCTTTTTCCATATACTTATTATTAAAACTTGACTGTGCTTTAAAACTTTCTTCTGATATATTAAGGGAAATGGCTACCTTTTTTTTAATGGAGGTTGATAATGCTGTCAATTTTTGTTTACCTTCTCTGATTTTACCTGACTTGTGCAATTCTTTGACCTTAATTGGAGATACTCTGACAGACGCAAAGTGTGTATCTACACTTTCTTTTTTATTTTTAATGGATCTTTCATTAACAATATCAAAATCTTCATCATTTTTATTTTCACTTATACTTTTTGATAAACATGTCATAACTTTACTTCGACAGGTTGGACACAGTTTTTTTCCAGGTATAAGATTTAAACCTATGGTTTCTGCTTCTAACACAGTATGCATTGTAATCACACGTAGAGATGCTTAAAAAGAAAGTAATTACATTACTTAAATAACAGTTATATATATTATGTAATTATATTACTATACAATTTGTTATATTAATAACTATGAAACATTGAACAAATCTTATTACCAGAAAAACTTATATGACTTATTAATAATGATATTACCTAATGAAATATAAATATATAAATTTTTACCTCTACACACTTTTTGGTGACTCAGAAATGGATTACAGCAACTTTTCTGATTACCCTCATATCTTACAACTAACATATCATGATGGTGTGTGCATATATTAGTAATTTGTTCTTGTTTCAGATTTGTTTGTTTTTCAAGTAGCTTACGATCATTGCTGTCAATATCTTCAATTAGATTTCTTTCTTGAGTATATGATTGTTTATAACAAGCTCCATAATTATTTACAAAGCAGCAATTAATTTTGTTATCCATATAAAAATATAATAAAGAATCTCTGTTTAAACACTTAATACAAGGAATCTTAAATAATCTTAATGTCCCTAACAAGAAAAGTACACTTGAACACAAACAATATCATATCAATATGTATTTATAAAGAACGTATTGCTTGAACAAGTAGCTATTAGTTTAATAGACATATTTTAAATGCCTAACTATCTACTAATTATTGTAAATTCTCCATTAACTACTTACAAAATGTTGTGTAAAATTAAAAGATAACTAAATATAATTTTATTTAGTTATGTAACTTAACATGGTAATGTTAATTAGACATTATTATACTATTTTATTACTTTTTTTATTGATGATAATAAATGTTTTATTACATCAAAACAAACAACAACAAAAGTTACATAATATTGTTAAATTTAATGACATGATATTATGTAATGAAAATGACATTATTATTATGTAATGAAAGTAAAAAGAAACAAATTTATAAAATGTTCAACTATGTTTTGTATTAACTTTGTAAATTTTTTACAAAGCTATTACAAAACAAAAATAATTGTATTTGTATTCAAAATATATTTGCAAATTTTTTTTTTTGCAAAATATCTTTAGAAAAATTGAAAAACTAAAGCATCATAAGTCCTTGATAAAACATAAGGCCAAATAAAAATTGGTTCGCAAAGTAGATATATGTTTAATATTTAAAATAACAAAAAATAAAACTTTTTTCATCAGTCAGATTTTTTCTAGAACTATAGTTGTCAATGGCCTTTTTTATTGTCATTAACAAGTGCGTTTTGTGGATCTTAAAATAAACTATATTTTATTGTTTTAAGAGATATAAGTTTATGATTTTCAGATTCAGCAGGTTTTAAACTCCTTTTGTACCAAGTTTTAGCTTTGCAATATTACTACAAGTTTGTTAAAAGGGTAATGGTAAATTGACATATTTCCAGCTTTATCCTCCCTCTTTTTTCAGTCAAAAAACAACTAACTTCAAGTTGCTGTAAATCTTAAAGGGTTGAGAATTTTTTGAAAAATTTTTACAGTCTTTCCTAACTTATATCTTTAAACATTTGTGCCAAATTTCAGCGAATTTGGTGATGCAGGGTGCAACCCCTTGTTTTTTGAGATATTTTTACCCCTATAAGAATTTAAGAATTCTATAAGAATTTAAGAGTTCTATAAGAATTTAAGAATGAATTTTTAACTATCAAAAAATAATAATGAAATTGCATTTTGAAAGTCACAGTATTAAAGTTTCTTTTTAACATTTTCAATTATAGAAGAAAATTCTACAAGCATTTAAACTTACTTAAAAAAAAATCTAAAAACATTTAATTGGTTTAAACTAAATTACTATTTTATTTTTACTTTTTTGTGAATTTTAAAAATTTAGAGATGAAGTAGTAGAAAAAACTTGTCAAAAAAGAAAAACTTGAATAATAAAAAAAAAGGAATTTTACATTATTACTTACACTTATAACTAGATTTCAAATCATTGTCTAAATTCTACATTGAAGTCATACTAAAAATCTTGAAATAGACTTGAAAAGAATGAATAATGACTTTATATTGTGTCTGCAAAGGCATATTATAATTATAAATAATTACACAATTATATTATAAAGAACTATATAATTGTGTAATTAGTAAAGACTTTTGCAAACTAATAAAAGATTTAGTTGAATTTACGTTGTTTTGTTTTTTATTTACATTTGGCAATTCCACACCTACAATTATTAATAGACCAGTCAGCAAATGTTTAAAAATAATTTAAGGTTGTGTCAGTTGCAAAGTCTAAGAAATAAAATTTGCACATAGTTTACAGTGTTATATTTTTCATTAAATTACTTTTTTAGTTTTAGCTTACAAGTTTAGTTTAGTTTACAATATTGCAATATTTGTTTACAATAAAATATTTATGCAAATTGTTTCTAGCTTATCCTTGGCCCTATATAGAAAAATAACTAAACTATTCAATAACTTTGCTAAAATGAAAAAAAATTTTATGAAAAATGGCTAAAAGCAACTTAAAGTTCAATTACCCTTCTACCAATGGACCAAACCCCAAGCGTACACCTTTGACCAGGTTTCAACAAAAATTACTCCAATTTTTGTTGCAAAAATTTGTTCAAAATTTAGGCATTTTAAATATAGAAAATTTCCCACATCACAGTTGAAGAGATGGTTTGTGAATTAGGTATAATCAACAATTTTCATGCTACTGAAGTTACAATTTCTACAGCCAATTTTACTCTTGGGTTTGATGCATCAACCTAAGAAAGATTACATTTAAACTCTATTCATTTTACAACTGAAACACAGCTCTCATATGGGACTGAAGATGATAATCAAACTAATGTTGTATCCTTATTTGACCAACTTGCACTTTTTTATTTTGATTTCCATAATTGCGACAAAACATTTCACAAAAATTATTTAAAATATTACAAACTCCATGACTGACTGTGCTGCAAGGAGAAAAGTTTCAAATGAACTAAATTGTTACTTGTACCTTCTTGAAACAATATCTAGATCTTGCAGGTAAAAAAAAGAAAGAAGCAAAGTAATAGTGGCTAATTAAATTCAAAACCTTAGTTTGTCAGATATTTCAACAGCATTTCTAAAGTTTAGAAAAGTATTAGACCTCTCTGATATGCTATGAAATACAGTAGTTGGTAAAAACATTTACCAATCATTGTTTAATTCTGAGAAATGCTCCTATATACACCTCGAAATATGCCTATTTATCCTTGCTACCCAGAGGGGATTGGTGCTTTCTTAAATATTTAACTGTTATATTTTATCTGTTATAATATGTAAAAATATTTAACTGTTATATTTTATCAACAAATAAATTTAATTTTTTTAGTGACTTAAAGCTGTTTCTAATGATATCATTGAGAATAATATCACACAGTTTTGATTTTTTTTTGCCGCATGCCTATATAATATAAACATTATTCATTAATTCAAAAGAAGATAGTATAATAACCCTAACTACGTTCAATGAGGAAATCGACCCTAGATTTAAAAAAAAGTTAAAATTAAGTACCTTTACTAACCAAACGCTTTGACCAGCTCTAGTGCAATCAACTTTTGTTGAAGACGATAATGATGATGTTGCAGCGCTTGGAGAAGAAGTCATATTATATCAAAACCTTGTTTTATGGAGTATATACTGTATTTTTAATTGAAAAAAAAGTCTCTTCTTTAATAACAGTATTTTAAATTGGTAAGTCTGTGCTTTAATACCGCGCATACGGTTCACTTGTTTCGCTTTTTAAATATTAAAAACGCGCTTTTAATATACTTTAAGGTTCTCTTCTTGCATCCCTCTATTTTTAGTATGTCCCAAAAGCTTCAAGTAAACAGGATGTGCAGACGATACTAATTTATTTATATATCCTTATTTGGCAAAATTTTTTGAAAACTACGACGGTCTGTTTTTGGATATTTAACAATTTTTGTGGAAATCAAATTCTAGAACTTATTATATTGTTCTTTTTACTTAATAAAGAACAACTTTCTTACTAATAAAAAGAATAACTTTCTGATTCTTTTTTTTTTTTAATTTTGTTTCTTGTTAATAGATGATTCTTTTCTTTTTTTATTTACAAATTTTAAGTTTATTTTTTTTTATTTGTTTATTCATTGATCTTTTTTCGCAGTTTTAAAATAATGATGTTACCTTCAATATTTTATGAAGGAATATTTTATGGACAACTGATAGTAAGATTGTGCTTTATGGTGGAAAAGGCTCTCGGGCGTATGTCAGAAGACCGCCGAATGCAGAATCCAATCCAAAATATACTATCAAAACTATTAAACATGGATGTTGTAGTGTAATGATATGGGCATGCTTTTCTTATTACAGAGTAGGGCCTATTCATCACATTACTATTATTATGGACCAACACGTTTATGTTGATATATTGGATAAAATGATGTTGTTTAAATTGCCGTTTGCAGACTATGAAATGCCGTTATCCTGGGTGTTCCAACAGGACAATGACCCAAAGCACACTAGCAAGAAGGCGAAGAATTGGTTTGAGGAGCATAAAGTGAACGTTATGGAGTGGCCAGCACAGTCGCCACATCTTAACCCAATCGAGAATTTGTATGCTGATGTAAAGGAGGTGGTTGCTGCTGCCAAACCCTCCACGAAGGAGTCACTTTGGAACGTATTTAAGGAGACATGGAGCGAAATTCCGCTAAAGCGATGTCAGGATTTGGTTAACTTGATGCCAAGACGTTGTGTAGCCGTTATCGCCAATAAAGGTCACGCTATAAAATACTAATATGTTAAGAAATAACTAACATTTATTGTAAAATGTTTAAAATAACTGATCTCATAATATTTCTTTATTTTAAAGTGCACATTAAAGTTGTGGTGCTATTATTTTTTTCGCGTTTTATTTGATTTTTTTTGAACTTTTGTTTAATAAATAAATACTATATATTAAAACTTGTATATGTTGTTTTTTATAAAAACTATAAGCCATTTTACTTTTAAATATGTATTTAAAAGATTTTCAAACTATCAAAAATAGTTAAAAGTTCTAATTTCAACCAAGTTTTGGTGGTGGTGCTATTTTATTTTTCGCAGCTGTAAGTTAAAAAGTGTAAATAGTTATCAAAGTTTTTTCTTTTTTTTTTGTCCCAAAATCCTATAGATCCTATAGGACTTTTTGGCTCTATAAAACCAAAATTACACTAAATAATTTTATAATGTGCCTTAGCATTAAATATTGGCATATTCTTTCTAGATTACGGGCAGACACGTATCATATCATCTCTTTTTGTATCATCACAAACCGAGGCAGAAACATTAGTTCCATTTTTTTTACAACGTTCTACAACTTCTGTGCGGAACAGCATTTTTCTCAAAAGATCACTAAGTTGAATGTAATCCTCTTTTGCTTCTTTCAATTGCCAGCTGTATTGTTTGTGGTGGCTCTACCAGGACGGATACATAAAATCAAGTAAAGGGAGGCAAATTTTAGGTTTTTTTGATTCAGTGGATCAAGACCATTCAGAAAGGAAGGAAGGTCAACGATTTTTTGGTTCGGTGGATTTAGACTCTCATAAAGTTGGGGGAGGGTGAGGCAATTTTCAGATTTAAGTCATAAAACTTTTTTATTGTTTTTTTTTAGAATATTAATCTTACACTGTTTTAATCTATGTGACTATGAAATTACGTCATACATTGGTATTCTCAATGTGTATTTAAAAGTGATAAGAAATTTATTAAAACTTCTTATCACTTTTATACAGTCTCCCTGCTTTACTTTTCGTTTTCAAATAATACGTATATTAAATTTATAAATTTACAAAAAAAATTCTTTCCAAAGTACCTAAGAAGGGAGGAGAGGGCGATTGCGCCTTTTCCTACTAATAGAACCTGAATAGTATCTAAAACCAGATTTTGGTCCATTCAACTCCACAAACAAATGGCGTAATGGACCCTCATTTGCATTTAGCAATCAAATTACCTATTGTAGACGCCGTTGAAGTTTTAACTTAATCAATCGAATAACATCACCTTTGCTTCCAGTGTTTACATTAGTTCCATCACCGCCTAACACTTGCAAACCATCCAAAATGATATTGCGTTCTTTAGAATCCTAAAGAATTTGAGATTTTAATGCATTATTTAAGATTTTTGTATTGGCAAGCAGATATAACAATCAGTTTGGCTAGTCTGTCCTTATATAGAGTTTTTTGTTTTGCTCAAAAAAATACACAACTTTCTTTGTCGAGGATGTAAATGATGACTCATTGTGTGTGTTGCTTTTTAAGCTGTTTCATTCTTTTTTTATTGTTTTTTTCAGGAAGTTTCTGAAAAATTAATATGTATGTATACTTAATTGAACTATTATTTGATAAATTCCCCATTAGAAAGATCACTAATTTTCATAAAAAAGATATTTGAGACACATATTAAAGTTTAACAGGTGCGGTTGAGAAGAGGAGACCATATTTCAAAGAAGAAACCTTTTTGATGGTATTCTGTAAAGTGATATAAAAGATACCAAAACAATAAGATATGTAATAAAAACAAATGGATCAATTCGGTTTAAACTCAGGGACAGAAATTTATTAGATCCAGCATATTTTGATGTTAGAGATAACTAATTTATTAGCTCCAGCATATTTTGATGTTAGAGATAACTAATTTATTAGCTCCAGCATATTTTGATGTTAGAGATAATTTTTAGACATCCAACTCCAAACATTTATAAGTTTATTTTTATATCAAATAAAAATAAATACTCCTTGATAAATTTTAAATCCAATAAAGTAATATCTTTCAAAAGCTTTTAAATATCTTACAAATAATATCTTTCAAAAGCTTTCAAATATTATGACCCTTATTAATTTGTAACCCTCTCAAATTGAGGGATTTTTAACTTTATACTGTCACCCTTTTTTGACATAAGTATTAACATAAATTTTTGGAGTTTGCTCCATGTCTGGATAAAATTATCCAAAATATCAAAAAATATTGCAACCCCCCCCCAAAGCCCAAAAAATATTACTAAAATATTGTATAAGTATGGTGTGTCATTGATTCGCGTAATTTTTTATGACAATATTCTAACCAGAGTTTACATAAAGAAACATTTGGTCATATTTTTATGTAACTAAATATGAAGTGTCAATAATTCTATATTTATAAAGGGAATACACTATACATTCTACTATTTCATCGAGAGAATAAAATTTGATGTAATTATATCGCACACACACAAATCGAACAACAATAACAAAAAAAAAAAAAAAAAAAAAAAAAACAAGCAAAAAATATAAATATAAAAAGATTGTTAGCTTCTTTTAACTGTTTGCTATGAATATAAGTACATCACTAAACTCAAGTATCAAAAGAATTTTTCTATGGAACTCATTTTACTTGGCAAGCGTATCATGAAACGAAGTAATCTTGAATATTGATAACCTAAAATCGTAAATAATCACTAACAACACTTATACGGGAACTAGCCAACGAAACGCTTGGATTGTCAGATAAATATACAAATAATATATGAACAAACAAAACGCATCGATTGTACAAGCTAGTAAACTCATGCCAAGTAAGTGTAGACTTTCCTGCAATATAAAATTATGAGTTTAAATTAATAGTAAAAAAAATACGATTTAAATGTATAAACATTTATGTTTTATAAAGTGTTATAAATTTACCTATCGTCATTTGATCTAGCTAGGTAGTCTCGTTCAATCAAACTTTCGATTCTCTTTTTTATTACTATAGCACTAGGTGCAAATCTCGATTTCAATTGTTCTATCGTCTTTAAAAATAAAATAATGAAAATAAAAATTAGGTTTTGTTTTAAGAAATCTACGTAAATTTTTGTAAACAAACCTCCGTTACGAGAACGTTATGTGGCAACTTTTTTCTGGCTTTCATGATGCGCACAACAGCTGCCTCAATTCTAAACAAAAATATAGTTAAGAAAAACAACCTTTGGCGGACCAAAGATGTACTAAATAAAGTTAACCCAAGAAAAAAATTAAGAATTTTTTTTAGCTATCCTGCAACTACGTTTGGTGATAATTTTGCAAACTTATTTGACCCAAAGACATTTAAGAAAACAAAATCTAACAAAAAACAGTTTTTTTATGTTTTTATTGACACTTTATTCGTAACACATTTATTTGTAAAAATGATAAGGACCAATACTTGATTGTAGAATGAATTCCGATCTTCAAAAACAGAATTTCTTTTTTAATCTCGAAGTTTTTCAAGTCTGATTGGCAGGTATGATCAGCGGCATTAAAATTTTCTATGTCATGCCGGTCAATCGTTTTTTAATCCGAATATTCCGAATAGAAACGCAAGTATACCAATATTAAAACGATATTCCGAATAGAAACGCAAGTATACCATTATTAAAACGATATTCCGAATAGAAACGCAAGTATACCAATATTAAAACGATATTCCGAATAGAAACGCAAGTATACCAATATTAAAACGAGATTTAAAGTATTAGTTTAAATTTAAAAACTTCAAAACTAAAAACAAATTCAAAAAGAAAAATGATATTTTAAACTTTTAGGAATTTAGTAAATCTTTTTCTGATAAAATTTTTTTTTTTTAATGACTAAAATTAAATTATGCACATATTTGCGAACCCAAAGGATAAGAAACATTTTCTTCATTTGGTTTGCAAATATTCCCCTATCCTCCTAGAGTGTATTGTTTGAATGGCTGGGAAGAAAAATAACAAGAAAAGCATAGGAAATAATTTCTCTCAGATAAATTTGCTCATTTTTATTAACAAACTTTAATTCGTAAAATTTTTTCATCCAGAATAAGAATCGAGCTTTTTTTATTATATTTGTTTTACTATTTATTATATATCTGTTCTAATATTATTTCAGTGTTTAGGCAAAAAGAAAATGAAAACCTTGCTTACGCATTTGCAAATCTTTTTTTAATGTTGTAACTGTCTTGGCATAACAATCCCGACAGTTTTAGCAAATACAGCAAGTCTTCGTCTGAGCACCTATCGTTGATGTCGAAGGCTACCTAGACTACAGGTAGTAAGTGGTTACTTAAATATACAAATATAAATTTATGGCTTTTTACTCTAAACCACTCACACAAACCGTGAATTTTATTTCAATAAGTTATTTAATCTAAGAAAATAAAGAAATAAAAAGGATGAGTATTCTCGAATTCTTATTTATAATATACAAATATATAGAATTGCATATAACATATTTAAACAAAAACCATAAAACAAGTGATTTCTTCGAAGTACTTCAAAATATAATAAATGAAAAGATACTCATGTTTTCTATCTTCGTCAACTTTTTGCCTAGTTTCTTTGCGCTCTGGTTCGGATTCACCTTTCGAAGAGACTGAAATACAAGTTGTTATAATTGTTGTAATAAGTAAATTGCTTTAACTTTGTAATTTACTCAATAACAAAATTAAAGACAAATTAATAATAGACTTTTACGCAAACTTGTCAACAACTGGAATTCTTCATCATCCAATCAACAACAACTGGAACTCTTTACCTCAATCAACAACAACTAGTATTCTTTACCATCAAATTAGCAACTAGAGTTCTTTACCACACTATCAAAAACTGGAACTTTTTACCATCCAATTAACAACAACCGGAATACTTTACCTCAATCAACACCAACTAAAATTCTTTACAATCCAATTAAAAAAAACTAGAACTCTTTACCATCCAATCAACAACTGTATGTCTTTACCTTAATATGAACTGGAATTTTTGACCATCCAATCAATAACTGTATATCTTTACCGCAATTAATTACAACTGGAATTCTTTGTTCCAATCCACAACTACAATTTTTTATTTCAATCAATAGTCAATAGCAGATTTAGTAACTATTTATTACCAATAAATATCAGGTGACCAACGGAGCCACTGCCCAATTAACGCTTTGAAAAATATTGACACAAATGTTAGCTGCTATAACTCTATTTACTGGCATTACTATCTGTTTCAAACTTTTTAACCAACAGCTAAGTTTGCTATTATAAGCAACATATTTGTATTACATTATTAATTTAAATAAAGTTTTAAATATACCTGTTTGAATTTTCACCCTAAACAGCTTGGAAGTAAACTGATCATTTACTGAAAATATGTGCGAAGGTTCAATTTCTTTCACTTTGGGTTCTTTGATCAAAACTCTTTGTGCAACTTTTCCTAACGCTAACGATTGCAAAGCTCTCATTAAATCTTTTTCTGGAATCTCCGTTTCTTGACCAATTTCCTAAAGCAAATAAAAAATTATTTAATACAATCATTTGTATACAAATCAAAATTAAATATAATCAGCAATCATTTTTGACCAATCATTATTTGTTTTAAAAACTTCTAGACAATTTTTTTTGCTAAATTGCTACAAGTAAACTCCAAGTAATGGTCATAACAAAAAAAAAAAAACTTTTAAAAAGTGCTTTTTTGACCATTTTGACATTAACAAAAAAAAAGGAGCATTTAAGGGTAGAAAATTTATACAGGTGAAGATTTTTTTAACTCTTATCTGACTGATCATCAAATAGAACCTCCCAAAAAATAAAGCAACCAAAGAATCTCCTAAGAAGCTTCCACCCTCTACTTGACTAATATTGATTTTATGGCCAGAGCAGGCATCCAACTTTAAACATCTCGATTTTGAAGTCAGACTCACTTACCTCGATTCTTAAGTCAAACTCACTAACCTGATCTATTGCTTAATTATTTTCTCAATTATTTATTTAAAAACACAGCAAGTAAAAATAAATACAGCTATTTAAACCTTTTAAAGTTAAACTAAATTTTTTATTAGATTTCTGATGATAAAGTTAAACATTGCTGAATTTTCATTTGAAGTCTATAGAAAAATGGTAAAAGTTTGCAAAGCCAGCTAAAAAACCATTTTCTGTTTTATCAAAAATGTTGAAATAGAAAACTAATCAAAAATTGTTGTTATTGAGAATAAAAATCAAAATAAACCTGTTTCTTTTACTTGACTACAAGAACCAGTTTAGTTAAGTTTAGTTGAGTTGCAGAATACAAGTCTAACCAGTTTAGTTGAGTTAAGTAAAATTGCAGAAAGATAAATATTACTTTGATAACTTTTTATAATCTTTCATTCTAGTTTATAACCAAAAAAATACGAGCATTTTTAAAATGAAAACAATAAATGCAAGCTTTTAATGATTGAAATTTTTCTTTACATTTTTTAAATTTAAAAAACAAAAGACCAAAGGTGGTCACACTAGAAAAAACTTACCTCTGCAGATATTTTTTCTTTTTTATTAAACATCATAAGTATACACATTTGATATGTTGAAACGGATATGATATGTTTTTTTGAAGCAAATTGCCCATTTTCCTATATTTTATAAGTAAAAATAGTAAAAAAATTTTATTTTTTGTGAGATCTTTTTTCATAACTTAAAATTTATAGAAAATTTAAAACTCAAATATAAATTTTGCATTTAATTTTGTACACTACTTTCATTTATAAAATATCCAAAACATTCTGTTTTTGTTTAACTTATTGTTGACCTGAATAAGGTTATCTAAAACTGAATAAAAACTTATTTTATATTATATTATGAAATATATGGTAATTTGAGGGTTGGCAAATCTTTTTAGTTTACAAACTAAATAAAATGTTTCAATATTTGATGGATTTTTATAGACATTTTTTACCTCTTTGGCTAACACTTTAATGTTAGAAAAAGAAATGAATAAACAAAAATGATTAAAGAATTTTATATGAAATAATTATTTTTAAAAATGAACAAACAAATAATAATGGAGATAACTGTCTATTGATGGAGATCTGCGTCAACTTGTTTCACAGTCTTATTCTTTCAGCGTTTTGAAGTCATAAGATTGAGGGAGGAGATTGAAAAGGCTAACAAAAATATCTTTTTTTTTAAATTTCAAAAAGCATTTGACGCATATGAAACCATTATAAGTATACATTTAATAATAAAACTGTTGCTATGAAGTAAACAACAATAGTGCTAAATAGATGATGTAACACAGTATGTAGAGAGTAAAAAAATTATAACAAGTAATATAATTACCAGATAACAAATAACATAATGAAAATAATCAAAAGATTACCTTTTTATTATAAAAAACAGCATTAAGATCTGCTGTACCCTAAAAATTAACAAGTAATTTTTTATTTGTAAATTATAATAAAAATAAACAAAACTCAATAACATTTAATTAGTAAACAATGAGTCAATGAGAAAATAAATGAGAAACAATGAGCCTTATACTAGTATAATACTTACACATAAATAACTATAAATTATAAACAAATAATAAATCAAGTAGAATATCTTATCAAACTTGTTATTTAATTCTTACCATTTGTGACTGCAAAGTGAGTTGACGACCACTGTGGCATGCAAGATAAAATCTGAAAGTAAAAAACTTAATATTTATTTAGAATGTCAGTTTTAATAATACAGACATTTGAATAACTAGTTTAGGGATCGTCCATAAAGTATGTATGCCAAAAATTTAGAAATTTGATTCCCTCCCTCTGTTGCTATTCGAAATCTAAAGCTCCCTCCCCCCCACCTAAAAAATAGGTAAGCTTTTGAAATACCCGACTGCCCTTTTTTTAATAATCAAAAAAGTTTTAATTTAAAAAAAAAATTGTATAAATTAAGAAATACTTTTTAAATTAAAGCATTTTTTAAAGTTGATCCATTACCCCCATCCATTACTTTATTGAAAACTTTTTGCAGATGCCTCCTTCCTCTAATCTCACTAGGATATACAATCTTTATACGATTACAACTTGAATGAAATTTAAAAAATATCTATTTATAAATATATTATTTATAAATTATAAATATTTATTTATAATTATATATTATAAAATTAATTTACTTACAGAATGGTATGTGTGTATGGTCAAGAGGTTAATGCAAGCGATATCATATCGGAGACCAGAGATCAAATCAAGTCAAATTTGCTTTTAATTTTTAAAAGTCATTATTTACTTTTTATTTTTTAAAATTTGTTTTAATGAATCAAATTAAACTAAACTTTACTTTGGGTGGACATTTTTTCAGGTACCCTTATTTAGTAAATCTGTAAAAAACAAGTCTTATGCAAGATGAGTAATATTGAAAACAAAGCCTGAAATCCAGAGTCCATGAAATCCAGAGTCCTAAATCCACATCCATCAAAGGTGGGGGAGTTCTAACAAATTTAGGAGTTCTTTTACAAAATTTAGGAAGGTCCAATCCATTAGCTATGGCACTGTTAAAACCTGTTTTTTGCAGACTCAAAAAAAGGGGTTTCCTAAAATACAAGTCTTTCTTACTCAGAACCAGTGCATAAAGAATGGCATGCATGTGCATAGAGGGACACTTTACCCTTAACTCCCCTATACCATACATCTTTTTATGTTGGCAAACTAGGACCTTTAGTCAGAAAATTAATGACACTTTTTAAATGGTTAGCTGGCAAATTATGGACAACGATGATATGGTTCGGTTTTATTTTATTTTTTTTAAAAAGTTTTTAGTTATTTAAAAACATTTCGTTATTAACAAGTACTTGTTAATTGTGATAAATTAGAAAAATTTATCACAATTAACAAAAAAAAGAGGGTTCAACAAAATATGAAACACAGCTCTTAAACCCAATGCTTATGTCAAACCCCAGACAAAATAGCAACCCCACTTAACCTCAAAGCAACATCACTACTTGATATCTGCCTCTTAATCTCATCTTAGTAGTAGTAGCACATTAAAAATATTAAGTCTTTATCTTAAAAAACAGGTAAACGTGCAAGGATGTTTCTATACTTGTATCATACGAACAGGTTCCCATACACATTATGAAAAAATTGCAATAATAAATAAATATTAATGAAGAAATATCATTACTAGGTCACTATTATATTAAACAATATTGTTAATAAATAATTACTAAATAATATGAAAGCATAATGCTAATATTACCAGATTTTTTTGCAAACAAATGAAAATTACCAGAAGTTTTGCAAACAAATGAAAATTATTAAGTTAATAAAATTAAACTAAAAAAATACACTTAAGTTCCTTAACCCTCCGTCGGGCGCACTTATTGTTCTTAACCCTCCGTCGGGCGCACTTATTGTTCTTAACCCTCCGTCGGGCGCACTTGATCGAATTGATACACGTCAATCAATTTTATCTGGTATGAGTTTTTATTAATGACTCAAAGTTCTGCTTTTTAGTAGCTTCATTTTTTTCCTTCTTTTATTGTTCTACATCATCAAACATGTTTAAATCACTTTATATGAATTGATTTTTATCATTTTGATCAAATTGATACATTGTGCCCTTTTATGTTACACTTTATAAGTTTGATTATAATAAAAAATATTATATCTGGTAGATACATTTTTAAATTTGTAGACATAATTTGATATTATTTATTGTTCAATTCAACGAGAATGTATTTTTTTAAAATAAAATATCAAATTGAAAGATTGCGCCTTAGAGCATTATTAGTTACAAAAGTCTTATAAGTATAAAAAGTTAGATATAAATCTAACCTTTTATACTTATAATTAAAACATTTTTTGTTTATATTTTTAAAATATATTTTTTCATCTATCTTTTTAATATATTAGTAATTCCTCTTTTTTGCTTCTAAAATGGATGAAATGGACTACTTAATCTTGAAAGTTCAAAAGATTTTCAAAAAAAATCTATTAGATAGAAAAGGAGGTAAAGATTAAAAAAAAAAAATTATATTTTGGGAATGCTCAACCTGTTGTTAGAAGAAATGTTTTCTTAAAGAGATGTTTTCATGAATTAGTGATGCCTTAACTTATTTCAAGAAGTGTAAAAAAAAAAGAGGGTTACCAAAAGAATTCAGTGATAGTTTACATCGCTTTAGAACAATCCCAATTTTAGAACAAGCCCAAGATAATATTAGAAATCAAAATAAAAATAAAAGATGCCAGACATGCACACAAAATAAACGATTAACAAGGTATAACTATCAACAATGCCATCAACCTATTCGACACAGGGCTAACAACGTTGGTGGGGAGGAGCACATACCCAACCACTTTTTTTCTAAAGTACCTTTTTTTTAGAGAAATTTCTAGATATAGAGGACTTTTTTGTAAAAAAATAAATGATTGTACCCCTCCACTTCAAAACCTGTGTCGTCAGCCATGTGGCACACCTAAAAAGCTATTGCGGCAGTTGCGTAAAAACTGTACTAGGTTTTGACGTTCAAAACGATATGTTAGAACATGATAACTAACATATTAAACTCATATTATATGTTACACTTCTTTTCAAAGAATTCAGAAACTTTATTTTTTTTTCCTAATTTTTTTTTATATAATTAGCTTTTTAGAATAGTCGCTGGAAATTTGTATCAATTTGATCAATGCGCCTGTTTTATTGAATATAGCAATTGTGATGGAATTTTTAATTATTGTAAATACTTCATATTTGTTCAAAGTATATTTAAACAGTTTATAAAAAAAAAATAAAAAAAAAATAAAAAAAAATTACTAAACTGGTGAATTGTTATGCGCATCAATTTGATACAATGCGCCTTCCCGAGTTACAAAATTATTGCGCCCGACAGAGGGTTATACTGTATTTAATTATTTTTTGTGATAGGAATTTGATGGGTTTTTTTTTTTTCTTTTTTTTTTTTTCGAATTTTGACTTAACTTAAGCTTAAAAGAGTTTTGACAAAATATAAGTTTGCAAGAATTTTACACAATTAATTAGATTTTGTTAATCTTACTTTACTAAAAATGTTAGTAACAACCATACAGTTCTGAAAATACAATATCTAAAGAAGGAACAAAATAAAATATGGAACAAATTATTGTGCAATAACATATATGTTGAGCTTTTCACTACAAAAAACATAATAATTTTCATTTATTTTATTCTTTTGTTCTTTGGTTGCTTTATGATTTTTTCTCTGACTTACATTTATTTAATTTAGGTAAATTTATAATATATGGAAATTATTTATTTTGATTTTGTGATTGATTATACATTTTGTGACACCTAAAGAGTATTAAAACACTGCTATTATAGTAAGTATATTATTTGCATTTTATTGTAGCATTTAATATACAAATATATAACTCATTAAAAAAAAAGTTTTTTATGTATGTGCTGTATACATAAAAAACTTTTTTTTGACTAACTATATCTTTTGTATATTAAATGCAAAATATAATTAAAAAATATTTTTTGTTAAAGCTTATATATATAAACAAATTTTTCTTGATTATTATGGTGCTCCAAGAAGACCTTAAAGTCATGTTACTGAGCACATAACAGTCATGTTACTGAGCACCTAACAGTCATGTCAAACAAGCATTTAACAAGGAAGTTCATGCCACCTTCAAACTATGCAATCAAACCTTGGACCTCTTGAAGCCAACACTCTAACCCCTGCACCATTGCTACACATATATTTAGTAAAATAAATCAAAAAATTTTTTATCTATTTATTTTGATTTAAATAAATCTTTATTATGACTTATGATAAATTTATTTTAATACTATTTATTAATGTTATTTATTCTTATATTTATTATTATTTATATAACTTAATACTATTGATAGAGTCAATTTACTGTTACTTTTCCCTAACAGAAAAAAATATACAAAAACTTTAAACATGTTTGAAGTGCAAAATTAAATTATTTTTTAATTATTTTTTCAACAACAGAAAAATACCGTTTGAAGCATTCAAATGCTTGGCGAGGTGCAACAGGTATATTGCATGATGTACTACTTGCTTGTGTGGGCCAATAACCAGTTGTTAAAACTCGTACAGTCAGATCAACATTTTGTAAATCAATCTGTATTTTAAAAAAAAATTTAATATAAATAATATCTAAAATCTTGAAAAATCTAAATTTATAATAGAAAATAAATTTATGTTTATTACAGAAAATATCAACTTATAAAATTAACTTTAAGCAATGAATTATTACATAATTATAATAACTACATAATTATTACTTTAGAGTTGTCTACGTGAGTTTTGAAGTCATCATTAATACTATTTGACAAAGACATATCTTTAAACATTCCCTCTAACTTTAATGTAAACTGATATCCACATTCTGCCTAAGACGAATGTAAAAAACATAACAATATTAAAATAAGACAAATTTAAAAAACGCAACAATATTAAAATAAGACAAATTTAAAAAATGCAACAATATTAAAATAAGACAAATGTAAAATCACAACAATGTTAAAATAAAACAAATGTAAAAAAAAAAAAAAAAAACAATATTAAAATAAAATAAATATAAAATCAATATTTTTAAGTGTGATTTTCTAATTATAATTTCATGTTTATTTTCTGATTTTTTATTTATTTACTTTTGATTTATATTTACTACTTCTGATTTAAGGATATCTAGTATAGGAATAAATATTTTAAATTTTACCATCAGCCAATGTATGCACTGTCCTTGCATATTTTTATTTTATTGCATGCCTTTTTATGTAAACCACTATTATAACATACTATTGTTGCTTTTTTGTTGAGTGCTGCTGTACCTGACATTACCCTCATTTAAAAACCTAACATGGTTGAACATGCAGTATTTGTCATTATATGCAGTATTTTATATATTTAATTGTCACTTTCCTAAGTGGTCGAAACTTTTGTGTTAAAGACTTGCTATTATTTTACTATGTTTCAGTTTTTAAAAAAATCAATTGCTTTTTCCAAACACTTGACACACACTTTTTCAAAAAACATTCACAGTTCTTTCTAAAGCTAAGTTTTTGACTCCAAATGACCTAAATATTATTATAAATTTTAAACATTAAATTTATTGCAAACAAATATACATTTTTTCATTGTATTTACTTCCCAAAGCATAAGTCTTGACAAACAAGTCTTGTTTGTTAATTGTTTTTGCACAAAGAAAAAAGTTAACAAAGTAACTTTGGATTAATCTTAGTGGTAGTATAACAAAACAAAAAAACTCAGCCTTGATCTACCAGGTTAATGCCAAGAAGGGGATCCCATTATAAAAAACCTTTTCAATATTCTCACATTTAAATAATAGTATTATAAAAAAATTCAAAAAAACAAAAATTTATTATTTTTAAAAGTTGAAATAATTAAGTTTTGTTTAATAATCAATAACAAGTAACAAACATTGTAAAACTTAAAAAATAAATTAATTTGCTAACATATTTACCAAATATAACCACAAACTTATATATATATATATATATATATATATATATATATATATATATATATATATATATATATATATATATATATATATATATATATATATATATATATATATATATATATATATATATATATATATATATATATATTATTACTGTAGATTTCAAAGCTACCTTTAGTTTTGAAATCATGTTTTTTTCTGCATCATCTGAAACGCTTTTGTTAAGAAGGAGTCTCTTTGCAAGGTGTTGCTTATAATATCGTTCAAAAACATCCTATAACATTCAATTACAAAAAAATATTTATATTTACATTACATTAAATTAATACCAATATTATAATACTATTAAAAATATAATTTTAAATAAACCAAAAAACATTTTCATAATATCTTGCAATTTAAAATGTTGTCATAAACCAACAAATAGACACCTTATTACTTGTAAATAAAAAAATTTATAAATAAAAAATTCACTTTTTAACTTTATATATAATTAAAAATCCCAAACATTAGAAAACACTTTTTAAATAAAGATTGTCATAATACTCAGTATTATACACATTACTTTTGAAATTCTTGTAAACATTACTCAAATTTTATGCATGAATTAAAATTTTTTTTAACTAAATATAACCATACTAAAAGATTTTACTTTGTACTTGGTATCTTCAAAATAACAACTAATTTTTTAATGAATATTTTATGTATTGTTTTATATAATTTTTATATGAATATTTTATGTATAGTTTTATGTAATTATTCTAATTGTATATAATTTTATGAAGAAATAACTAAAGTTTTATCTTTTATATATATATATATATATATATATATATATATATATATATATATATATATATATATATATATATATATATATATATATATATATATATATATATTTTTTAACATCTTCACTTCCAACAAGGCTGCAAGCAACCACTATAAGAGTTGGAAGTTACTGGAAGAGAAAAGACTAAATCTGTAGAGCAAGATAACGATTGACTGATGACTTAAAAGATTGCAAATTATATGAATCAGGAAAGCAAGATGAAGGAAGCGAATTCCAAAGAACTGATGTTCGAGGAAAAAAACTAGAAGAATAAGAGTTTTTGAAGCACTTAGGAACAGTCACAGAAAAAGGATGAGACTTAATTGAATGGCAAGTAACACGAGAATGAATTTTAGTAGATGGCACAAGGGACGCTAGCTCTTCAGAGCAGTGCCCATTATAGTATTTGTAGAAAAGAGAAAGAGAAGCATCATTACGACGATGTGACAAAGGTTGGAGATTGGCTGCCAGAGCAGGTCCAACTATGTTTACAATTCGTTTTTGCACCTTGTCTAAAAGAGAAAGAGCATCATTAGAAGATCCGCCCCAGATGTGGCAACAGTATTCCATACAGGGACGGATTTGAGATTTATAGAGATAGAGAATAGAATCTGGAGTAAGAAAGTGTCGAGCTCGATAAAGAGATGCAAACTTAGCAGATGCTAATTTTGCTATGGATTTGATATACGGTTTAAAAGAAAGATCAGAAGTAAGAGTTAATCCTAGAAGATGAATGGTAGATGACTCATCTAGTACATTACCATTCATAAATATAGGAAGATCTGAATTATTACGATAACGATTGGCCGAATAAAATTGAGTTTTATCTGAATTAAAGTTCACCAGCCACTGTGAGCCCCATGCTGTAGCAGAAGTGAGATCCTTTTCAAGCTCAGATACCCCCTCCAAGCAATCAGAGAGTGTAGGCTTCTTATCATGACAAGAGTAAATGGTAGTGTCGTCGGCGAATAATGCCACCTTAGATGTGAGAATATCTGGAAGATCGTTAATGTAAATTAAAAAGAGTATAGGGCCAAGGATTTAACCTTGAGGAACCCCTGAAGTTACAGGATGTGAAGAAGAGTGTTGTCCATCGAGGACAACTTTTATACTACGATTGGAAAGAAAGGACTCAATAATCTTAAAGACGTTACCAGCTACACCATAAGAAGAAAGCTTATGGAGAAGACCAGCATGCCAAACTTTATCAAAAGCTTTAGAAATGTCAAGTGCGATAGCCTTAACCTCTCCACCTCTATCTAATGCACGGTAAAACCTATCGGTTATTACTGTTAGCACATCAGCTGTAGAACGAGAAGACCGAAATCCATATTGATGATCAGAAAGTAAGTTATTTGATTCAAGATGAGAGATTAAGTGTTTGTTGATTAAAGATTCAAAAACCTTGCTTATGACAGGAAGAAGACTAATGGGACGGTAGTTAGATGAATCAGATCGCTCTCCGAAATTTTTGAAAATAGGGATAACAGATGCTGCTTTCCAGCATGATGGAAAACAAGACTCTGATAAGCACTTGTTAAATAGTTTAGAGAGTATGGATGAAAGCTCAGGAGAACACCTCTGCAAGACTACAACAGGAATGTTGTCAGGACCACAAGCTGTTGAAGAGTCTAAGCAGGAAATTACTTTAGATACAGAAGCTGAAGTGATGCGAATGTCAAGCAAGGGATCAACCTGTTTGACGGCTATGTCAGGTAAAACGCAACTAGTGGAATCAAGAGATGATATTGATGAAAAGTTCTTAGCAAACAATTCAGCTTTGTCTTTAGGTGAGGTGACAAAGTCTGAAACATACAAGAGAGAAGGAATAACAGATTTGCCCTTATTATTGATACTGTTAAAGATTCTCCAGAAGTCTCGAGAGCCTAATTTTTGTGATGAGATACGAGATTTAATGACCTGGGAATAGTGAGCTTTGGCGTCAGACAAAACCTTTTTACAATGGTTTCTGGCGATAGTGAACAGATATCTCTTTTCTGGAGAATTGTTTTGCTGATAGATATGGAAGTAACAGTTTCGATTAGAAATTGCTGCAGCGCAATGTGAGGAAAACCAAGGAGAAGAGTGAGGCTTGACCTGGAATCGTCGAGAGGGAATAAAAGATTCCATGCCAGCCTGAATCCACGAAGTTATGTAAGAAGCACATTTGTCAGCAGGAAGACGAAAGATTTCTACCCAAGGGCCATCACGAAGAAAATCACGGAAAGAGTCCCAGTTAGCTTTAAGGTAGTTGTATGTGGTACGATGATAGGGGGATTCTGATGAAGTAGAAGAATTTGATAATAGTTTTAGAGAGATCAAACCGTGATCAGAAGTACCTAAGGGTGAATGTGGAGAAATTGAGCACTGACTAGGATCCAAAACAAGACATAAGTCGAGTAGAGAAGGTAAATGATTAGGGTTGTCTGGAAAACGAGTTGGAAAGTTGACTATTTGAGTTAGAGATTGAGAAAGGCAAAAGTTGAGGGCCTTAACGCCAGCAGAGTCACTGACACTAGAGCCAAGCCAATCGGTGTGATGGGCATTAAAGTCACCAACAACGACGATATTGGCCGATGGATAAAGAGAGAGGGCTTGGTCAATTTGATCAGAAATAACATCAAGAATAGTGCAATCTTGGGATGAAGGAGAGCGATATAGAACAAAGAGAAAGGCGATAGAGTGAAGTTGTGCTAAACGAAAGCACATAAATGAATAGTCTGTAGATTCAAACCTAGTTTCACGACAAATGGGTGAGTTCTTACGAATGTAGATGCCCAGGCCAAGCATGTGATTATTGGAGTCTTTACAAATTAAAGGAAGATAACCATCAACACTAAGATCACAAGATGGGACAGCCGAACTCAAATTAGTCTCACAAAGAGCAAGTAGGTCTGGTGAACTTTGCAAGAGATAAGACTCAACAGAAGAAAAGTTACTTCGAAGACCACGAATATTAGTAAATGATAGGTTTAGAGAACTTGGTGATGACGATGGTTTTTTGTGTTTTTTAGTTTTAGGTACTTTAGTCATTTTAAATTTATAAAGAACTTGACTCAAGTATAGATAGTACTCAGTACACTATTTAACAACTAAGCAATAGCCTCATTACTATTAATAAACCCTAAGCCGTAACAAAGGGCTCCAAATGTGGCCTCTGCAATGCACACCAAAAGTACAAACAGGGACACCATCCATGCGCAACATGGCACTGTTAGTACTCTGATATTTTTCGGCTGTTGATGGAATCAGCCTCTCTGAGAGCTACCACAGAGTTCGGGAAACCTGACTACCAGCCGGCCTCAGAACCATAAAACTGAGTTTTAGAGCTGTACCCTCATAAGGAGATAATAGAATGAGTTGCCCAGTCATAAAAATAGAGACACAAGCAATACCCACGCATTGAGTCAAGAAGATCCAGCGTTCAACATCCTAAACTGGAAACAATGTATTAAAAATACATCTGCGCCAGCCTAATAGTTGAGGAAGGGGTGCGAGGCTGGTCAACAGATAGAATCTGTTTACCCCTTAAGTCTTTGCCTAGGAGGCCTTCTACAAGACAGCAGCTGGATGCATGTAACATCTGCCCAAGATGAGTATTTTTATCGAGACACCATCTTTAGCCTTTACTCAACCAAGAGCCCCAAGGCAGGGGGTGTTTTAATTCGGAGTTAACTTCTCCTAGCCTTTGCCTAAAAAAGCGTATCCTACAAGGCAGCAGGACATGGAGCAGGTTGTACTGGGTTACATGTTACCAGTAGCAGGAAAACCTGACCTGACCTTTTATATATATATATATATATATATATATATATATATATATATATATATATATATATACATATATATATATATACATATATATATATATATATATATATATATATATATATATATATATATATATATATATATATATATGTATATATATATATATATATATATATATATATATATATATATATATATATATATATATATATATATATATATATATATATATATATATATATATATATATATATATATATATATATATATATATATATATATATACTACTGTGATCAAAAAGTAAGGTGAATTTTTAATTTAAACTTCCTGCCTTATTCGAATCGTCCAATCTTTTTTATTTTTAAGTTGGTAGGAATGTCATTAACATTTGCGCCAAATTACATGTCAAACTCATAATAATTTTTTTTTGTTTACGCTTGTTTCTGAAGTACCAAAAGTGCATTCGGCGATTTTCACGATGTCTAATTTTGTTGAGCAAAGAAGTGCTATTAAATTTTGTTTGCGGAATGATATTTCTGCTGCTGAAACGTATCGAATGTTGCAAAAGGCCTTCGGTGAAGAGACTATGTCTCAAAAAAATGTTTACAAGTGGTACAAAGACTTCAAAGAAGGCCGAGAACGTGTTGATGAAACGCTTCGGACGACCATC